ACTTTTTTTTGTAAAGTTGTTCGTAAAAAGAAACCAGTTGGACTGTTCGTAATTATGCATGATACAAGAAGGTTAGATAAGATCCTTCGCGGTCGCAAATCTGTTCTCCGCGCGCATGACGTCACTAGGATAGTAATTTTCTGTTAAGCTCCGCCAACTACATGCGCAATATCTTCTCTCAAAATAAAGTCCAAAATCAAAAATGCCCCTCGTAAATTATTCCGTATTTTTTCAGAAAAGAATGCTCAAAAGTTCAGCCACTTATGTAAAACAACAAACTGGGATACTCGCTCTTATGATGTCGACACCGAATTTTCTATTTCCGTAAAAACATTAACCAGTCTAGCGTTCAAATCCTTTCCTCATAGGCGTATCAAAAATAAGCATAATAAACCTTGGACCACTAAAGGTCTACGCATATCTTCTAAAAGCATGCGTTCATTATCTCACTTAAAAAAATTCTCAGACAGTGTCTTCTTCCACAATTACGTAAAACTATACAGAAAAATTTATCATAAGACTATAAGAGCCGCTAAGGACCTTTATTATAATAAGAGAATAGTCAATTCTGGTAATGTTGCTAAAGAAACATGGTCTATTGTGAATGATTTGAGAAACAAAGCTTTTTTTCGTCTAGCAATATCTCTACCTCACCTGAGAACCTTAACGATTACTTTGTAAATATAGCGAAAAACTTAACTAATTGGTATTAGTTAAGTTTTTCGCTACATTTACAAAGCATAATATGTCCTTTTCATGATCCACTTTCATATCTCTCTAATGATAATGTAAACTTATACAGTTTACTGTAGACAATTCTCTGAAATGGGACATGCATATCGAAACTTTGTCGAAAAAATTGAGCTCTGCCTGTTTTGTTATTAAGATCTGTTTCTAAGGAGTTTAACTTGTCAGTGGCTAGAACTGTTTATTATATTACTTTTTGAGTCGCACGCGGGATTTGCCCTTCCATTCTGGGGTATGTGTTGTGCGACTCAATTTGACCGCATTTTCAAGCTCCAGAAGAGAGCTGATGGATATTCACTGGGACTAAACAGCAGAATTCATTGCCAGGACTTTTTTAAAAAATTAAAATATTAACTCTTCCTTCCTTATTTATATTTGACTCCGTTTGCCTAATACGTAAGCATGTATCAGCTTCTCAAGAAATGCCATCTCACACTTATCCACTCAGGAACGCCGAAGCAAGATTTTTATCTACCTACCCCACGCTCAGAGTTAGTTAAAAGTTCAATATTATACAACTCGAAAAAAATGCACAATCACCTGCCATTTGAAATCAAATCCATAACATCATTTTCTTCATTTCGCAAAGCATTGAACTCTTATTTTCTAGACAAGGCTTTCTACGCATTAAATGAATTATGTTTTGATAATCGAATTTGATCTTGTAAACACTGGTCTAATGTTTGCTATTGCTATATTTACCAATGACATCGAAATAAATTTATTTAGAGAATAATAAATATCGCTTTACTAAACTAACTAAATATTTTTGAATATTATTTTTATTTTTTTTATTCTTTGACATTGTAAACATTTATAAATGTTTATTTTAAACAATAAGACTGACAATATTATTTGTATAATGTTTTGTATTATCTTTTGTTTGCTTGTTCGTGTACCTTGTTTGTTTACTTTGTTTGTTTAGTTTACCTTTGTCTACAAATTGTAACATTTTTTGACAATAAAGGCATTTATTTATTTATAGTTCGTGAACAAACTAGTTCCAATGAACTATTCCGACCCCGGAATGAAAGGAACTAGTTCCCGGTTTCTCAAAGGACTAGTTCCTCAGTACTTATTTCGGGATCCAGACTGTGACCGATATATAATATGGAGTATAGTATAATATGGATATAACAAGAGTGGGGAGTGCCAGCCGTATGTTACCTGTTCCGGATCGGAGGGGAACTAATTAAAGGACTAGTTCACGGGGATCTATTCAGTCGGCAGATCCAAAATATAATACAAGGTGACGACGATGGATTCGACCTTGTCTATTGCCACAGCCGGCGTAATTACGACAGAAAATTGTCGTGGATACTGTTTATGATTTTTAGTTTGTTCTTTGAATATTTTATGGGAATGTCTCACTTTAGGTCCCTAAAATTAAAAATTTATATATATACTTATATTATATACGTATATAAAACGAAGTAGATATTTTGAATTTTTAGACAAAAACAAATAGCTTGAAGTGAAGAAAAATTCAATTTTTCGTAAAATTTTCGTATTATTTGCTCCAATTGATTTGTGATATAGTTTTTTAAACTTTGATTTGAGTTTCTTTTTTAGTTCTTTATCTGCAATAAAACTTACCTATACAGGGTGTCATTGAAATGGTGTAAAAAAATCATGGGGTGATAGTACTCCTAAAAATAGTGAAAAAAGTTCCTATAAATATAGGGCGAAAAATGCATATTAAGGGAGTTAGGGGCACTGAAAGGGTGAATTTAAAAAACGGTTGTTTTGAAATTGTGGGCTTAAATAAAAAATCGGTAAAAAAACTTTTAAGTTAAACGGTTTTATCTTATGTGCATTGAAAACTAGAAAATAATAATAACAATTATGTATTTTGAACTTCTAGTTCAGAAATATTTTAGTACTAGGCAGAATAGCTTTTAGGCATATTAGACTAAAATAAAAACGTGGGGCCCATTAACTATTGCTGTAATACTTTCTTCTATACTAAGTGTGGATTGCATCGACTTACTATAATCGTAACTGGAGATTTTGACAATCAATAACCAGCCGTAGCGGCTTCACCAACGAACGCCGAGCTCATGATCTACCAAAGTATAAAGATATGCTTTGCCATAGGTAGGATTTCAGAGGGGCCCCACGTTTTTATTTTAGTCTAATATGCCTAAAAGTATTCTGCCTAGTACTAAAATATTTTCTGAACTAGAAGTTCAAAACAACTAATTGTTATTATTATTTTCTAGTTTTCAGTGCACATAAGATAAAACCGTTTAACTTAAAAGTTTTTTACCGATTTTTTATTTTCTAGTTTTTAGTATTTAACGGAAATGCCTACCGAATATTCCTCATTCTATTTAATTCATTTAGTGCATCATTGTTACATGGTTTTTTACCTGATAATTTATTACAATCTAATTCCTCAACACATAGCCCTTCCAGAGACTTGACTCGACTTAGAGCCACGTATGCTTGCCCTTCCTCAAACAATTTTGAGCCCAAATACACTACTGCATGGTCGACTGTGCTGCCCTGCATTTTATAGACGGTGGATGCCCATGACAAAATTAAGGGTAACATCCTTCTTTCAGCCGTACCATAATTGAATTTTGCTGGAAACTGTATGGCTTTCGGGTGTATAACGTGCATGCCGTCTCTGCCAAAGTCAATCCAAACTGATGGTACATCTGTTTCGTACATTTGGGTTCGACGGAACTGAGGCCAAACAATTTCTGTAATGTGGCCTATAGCACCATTTACCAATCCTTTTGTAACGTCAATGTTGGACCGCAACATTTTCACAAATTCATCACGTATTTTTTTTATCTGTCCTAACGTCACACAACTGTTCTGGACATGACTACTCATGCCCTCACCTAATACGCCATTTTGTAACGACGTCCATCTTGAATTTTAAATTTTGTCATAATCACAGTATTCTACTAGTGTAGCCCTTTTATTTGATACCCATATTGAGGGGGTTGTGGGAAAATATGAAATCCGCCATTTTGTACCGGCGGCCATCTTAGATTTACAATGTTATCGATATTACTATATTGTATTGTCATCGGAACTAAAGGTGTGTACCAAATTTCAGATCAATCTGACAACAGGAAGGTACTTAAATTTCAATTTCTAATTTTGACCCAAATAAACAAACAAATAAATAAATACCGTACGGGTCGAGCCAAATAAAACCGTTTAAAAACGAGATAAAATTTCGAAAAAAATCCTCTATCATAAATTTTGACCCTAAAACAAATGGTGATACTGAAAAATTATTTGGAAAAGCGGAAAGGGTAGTTTTTGCAAGGGTAGGGGGTTGTTTCGTGAATAACTTTTTGAGGTTATTTTTTTGCAACGTGGGGTCATTTTCTTGAAAACTACATATTTTTTCCTACAAAAAAGATACTCATGTTGCACATCGCCCAAAGCGATGGTTTTCGAGAAAATTGAAGGCAACAGAGATTTAGGGTCAAAATTTATGGCAGAGGATTTTTTTTTCGAAATTTTATCTCGTTTTTTAAGCCTACAATTTCAAAACAACCGTTTTTTTAAATTCACCCTTTCAGTGCCCCTAACTCCCTTAATATGCATTTTCCACCCTATACTTATAGGAACTTTTTTTACTATTTTTAGGAGTACTATCACTCCCCAATTTTTTTACACCATTTCAATGACACCCTGTATATATTTTTAACGTACGCAATTACACGTCTCGTTATATTTCGTACATTAATTGTGAACTAAAGACCTAGTTTAAAGAACTATTCCTTTGGAGGAACAAGAACTAAGGAACTAGTTCCTCCCAAGGAACTAGAATTCCCACTTCTACTTCGGAGCGTTAAGACTTCAAGAGAGAAAATTCACTGATCTTGTGCGCGGAATATCTCGAATACTGCTAATTCAACGTAAAAATGATAAGAATCATTTTTGTATATTATTACATAAGCTTAATTTTTTATTTCAGGAAAAGTTTTGTAAATTGCATATTTTGGCAGATATTTGCGAAAAACTGATTTTTCGGCTATTTGGGGCCATTTATTCGGGCAAAGCCACGGCGTTACAATATTTCCCCTAAAATTACTCCCCAAAAGGTACACAATTCGCCTGAAAAGTCCCGGCCGCCGAATTAAGTGGTTTCAACCTTGATTTACTGGACTACTAAGGTATTCTGTAATTGCCTTAACAAAGTTTTATCGATAAATAATTTCCATGGATACTGATTATTTACCTTCGTATCATATTTAAGGTATTATTAATGACAGATTTGGACATATCTCATGTCGTGATTTTACCTGAGATTATTTTTGCCAGACCTAGTACCTTTTTTAATATCACAAAATGGAAGAAAGCGACTTTAGCGATAATCCAGATGAGGGTGACGAAAATCGTGAAGAAGAATTGGACCCGGACAATCCAGAACATGCATTTGCAATTATCGAAAGAGATTACAACAAGGTATGAATATAAACAAATTATTATATAAATATGATTTAAAATAGTACATACTTAGTATCAACTTGGTATTAACAATTTTGTAAGTGTATTTAACGATAAAATATGCGTTCCAGTTTCACTAATTACAGAAAGATTAAATACAAAAAATTAGTATCTAACAACAAAAATAGATTCATTTAACATTTTTTTTTTATTTCTTCTAAGTTTTTGACTTAAAATTGATTTTGACTGGAAATTAAAAAACAGGGTTTTCTACAATCATGACTTGAGTACAAAAACGAAACTTGCAGTGTACCAAGCAATTATAATTCCCACCATGTTATATGGAAGCGAAACCTGGGTGCCGTACCGCCGCCACATGAACGCATTAAACAAGTTGCAGCAGAGACACCTTAGGCAACTGTTAAGAATCCGATGATTCCATCATGTCTCAAACGTATCGGTCCTTGAAAAAGCTAACTGCGAGAGTATTGAAGGCATGGTACAAAATCCCGCTTAAAATGGGCTGGTCACGTATGCAGAATGGAAGAAAACCGCACACCAAAATCTCTGCTTTACGGTGAGCTTGTTGACGGTAAGAGGAGGCCGGGTGGACAACTCAAAAGATACAAGGACATTTTCCACGAAAACTTAAAAGAGATTAACATGCAGAATGAGTGGGAAAAGAAGCAGTTCACAATAGAACCCAATGGAGAAGAAATGTAAACTCAGTTAACAGCGACAACCAAAAAGTAAAGAGGCAACAAAGCAATGATATTTTTGAATGTCCGGAGTGCGGTAGGCAGATAACATCACGTATCGGGTTTTTCAGTCACAGAAAAGGTCATGAAAGAAAACACCTTTCGTCGCCACCTTCTGATGCGTGTCAAATACTCGTCAGCGAGTAATGGCAGTAGTAGTAGTGAGACTGTATGATATGAGTTATAACTCGAGAAAATGGACAATAGGTCTATAAGGTCGTAGGGATTAACTTTCCTCCTCCCAGACAATCTATAATTTAAAAAGAACTTCTGAATATTTATTCAAAAATCTCATTTTCCAGACTGTTGCCGAATTGGAACAAAACCCGGAGGTCGCCCATTTCGCCGAAGATTTCAACAAACTGTTCGAGGCCTTCTTTCAATCGTTTACCAGGCAAAAGGAAACGGAAGAAGAAAATGAAGCGTTTTGCAAATTGATAGATAAGAACCAGGAACAATTGGACGCGGCCTTCAGGCTAGCCGACGAAGATAAAACGACCATAGATACGCTGAAGCAGGAGATCAACAAGGCTTGGAAACTAGCTGACGCGGCGCACGGCAGGGAGCAGTTGGCTCAAGAAATCATAGACAATTTAAGGGCGCAAGTGGAAAATTTGAATAGGGAGATCGATTTCAAGAATATGATGAACCAAGACGGTGAAGAGTACGTATAAACTATGGAGTGTAGAGGTAAGGAGAAATAACTCTTACGGGACTTTTATTGAAAAAGTGGTCACAAAATGGGAATAATAAGGGTTCGCCAAATTACCACAGTGGCGCTAAAAACGCATGAATCTAAAAAATGAAAAGTAACCATAGATAAGAGAATAAAAATAAATATAACCAAACATTACCCAAAAAAATTTTGTTTTTATTTTTCAGAGTTTTTGAATATAAAATAATTATTGTTTATCAATATTTTGTGCTTTATTTATTATTTAACAATGGTTAAAGTGTGTGTGGTGCGAAGTTGATTGAATAGCTGATGGAAAAATAAAGAGCAACGGCAAAGCCTACATTATGTAAAATACATAATATAATTCATTATTGTATTATTTGTATTATATGTAAAAATTAGAGTCAATCAAAAGTGTATTAAACATTTTTCGTAAGATTATTGACATACATGTTACAAAGTATATTTTTACAATCCTTTTTATAAAGTTACAACCTAAATAAAATTTATTTTTAATGATTTTAAAGTTTGACAGACATGCACAAAGTTGGCATTTTTTTAAACAGGAAATACATAAAATTGTAGGTACTTTCAAGAAATATAGTTAACTGTAAGTGCTGTATTATAATAATCTATCAAAAATCAAAATCATCAGGATAATATTAGGTATTGATTTTCAGACAAGAATTAGATTACAGTAATGGTCAAAAGCATTTAGATATTGCTTTGAAATCTACAGATAAGGTATGGCAGTTTCATTTTAAAGAAAAAGATGTTAAAGTTTTATGATAAATTTGTCATCAGAAATACTGTTCACTTCAGTATTTACATAGGAAAATATTGGAGGATGAAGCTCTACCTACTGCCTCAGGTTAATTTAAATTCTGAATTGCAACAACAGCAACCATCAAGAAGGGCACCATTAAATGAATAATATACACATAAGTATTATTATACACAGAAAGAGTAATGTTATACACATAAATATTAACATTTTGTAGTGCAACAACACAATAAAAAACCAAAATATGAACACCAGCAACTAAAACAGGAACCATTAAATGAATATTATACACGTAAGTACAATTTGATCAAATAAAAAACGGCGTCAGCGATGCCTATGAAATGAAGATTGCTGTCATTTTATATGTAAAATGATATGGAGAATGTCATCGAGGTGTTCATTTCCAAGCCAACTGGACGCCGTGTTTTTTCGATCATACAGTATTATTATACACATAAATAATAATATTATACACATAAACATCCCTTGATAAAGATCAACATTTTGTAGAGCAATAACAGCATCAAATAATGGAAATAATGGACCCTACTGCTCAAATCAAAAACAAAATTTCAGCATTACCACTTTATTGGTTATATCAATAAAAGAAATTATTGAGTTTATGAGTCTAGATCCTACAAGCAAGCAGATCTATCAAATAATTTAAAATGAAGATTTATCTATTATAGTATGCATAAACACTTTGCATCTTTTATTCAATGTTGTAATGAATTAACAAATTGCAGGTAATTTATTCTAATAACGAAAAAGAAACTTTGGATCAAAAAATATTTTCTTGTGATGAGGTTTATGAATATTAAAGTCTGTTGGAAGTTTGGCCATTATGTGTTGGTATACAATTTATTTATGATGTTACAGTAGTTAAACCATCCGAGTACAAAACATGTTTAAAATCCACTATTCTTAATGAATGGCAACTACCAACTTGAGATGAAGCTAAGAGAAAGGTTCTATTGGGTGGACTACAAGGAAAAGGGACATATACATGAGGATCTAAGGAAGGGCTATAACATTACGTCTCAAGCCATGGAACAATAAGAAACGAAATTTAAAGGAAAATATTACAATACGTGGGATGCAAATTTTAGTGCAAAGAATTGAGAAAAAGAATTATTAAAAGTAGTTATAGTTACGATAGTTAAACCATCCGACTACCAAATATATTTAAAATCCACTATTCTGAATGAATAGCAACTACCAACTTGGGAGGAAGCTGCGAAAACGATTCTATTGGGTGAACTACAAGGAAGACATGAGCATCTGGAAGGGCTATAAAATTATATTATTATTTCACGTCCCAAGCCATGTTGGAATAGCTGGGAGTGAAAAAGAAGATAATACGATTCTCGTCTAGAAGTAGTTGATATTAAGGTAGTTAAGCCATCCGACTATCGAACATTTAAAATCCACTATTCTGAATGAATGGCAACTACGATGGCAAAATGTAAATAAATACTTGTACAGATATAAAATTATATTATATTGGCTTAATTTTTATACTAAATATAATGTGTTACGTTATTTTTGACCTGCATTATATTTATTTAAATCCCATATTATCAATTAAACTTTTAATAAAGTTTTCCTAATTATAATTAACATTAATTTTAAACTAAAGATTTTGATCTTGAATGAGATTTACGAAATAACTTGTGAGAAACAGTAAAAAGAGGCTCTGATATCTGAATAATCGATAATAAAACCACATATTGACTTACTTTTATACTAAATAAATGTAGGTATGAAGTTATTTTAAAGCTGCAGTAGATTTATTTTAAACCCATCACCAATTATTACTTTAAATAAAATTTGTCTTAATTATAATTACCATTAATTTTAAGCTAAAACGATAAGAATATTTTTTCGTCGTCTTGAATGACATTTGCGAAATAACTTATGAGAAACAATAAAAAAGGGCCTAGTCTATTGCTGCTGAATAAAAATCTGTAATTTATTTCATGCAACATGAAAATAAAATTGTATTTTTTTTTAAACCCGCGGCTTCGCGTTTGCTTCACGTCAAATATTAGAGAACAACGGCATACGGTCGAGTCGGCCGCTCCTGGCACGTATACGTAGACGTAAAGAATCTTTTACGTGTATAAAAAATAGAAAATATAAGAAATGCGCATGCGTACGTAAACGTTTACGTGTTTGTAGGCCGATTCGACCGTATGCCGTTGTTCTCTATTTATTTCTTGAATCATCTGTTCGGCGCATGTCTTAAATTTTAGAATCTTGCTACAGCAGCGCCATTCTAATTCTTCCCTTTTTTTGACCATTTTTTAATGCACGGAGTTATTTCTCCTTACCTCTACACTCCATAGTATAAACTCTAATCAAATAATTAACATTAGTTAAATGTTTTTATTTAAATTGAAAATGTAATTTGAAAAAAAAATAATGATGTATTAGTTCTCTGATCATTATCAAGTTTATCATTGTATAAAAGAGGAAGAAGTTTATAGGATTGGTGCCTATAAATTCCTTAAACAGTGCTGCCACCAACGGAGAATCTTGTAAAGTACCGACCTATACAAATAGGTACACGAGCTTAAATAGCGAGTACACGAAATATTTGTTATAATATTAATTGAAAAGTATTAGTCAGTGAAATTTGTGAAAATTCTAAAAAAATAATAAGGTAAATCTTTTTATATATCCAGATTGTCTAACATACAGGATGTTTCAAAAAACATATGCCATCATCTCTCGTGGGAGGTTCCTCACATAAAAATAAGATTTATTTTTCACATCAACATAGTCCGATTCTAATTTGTTTCGTAGCTACAGGATTGGTAAGTAAGTAAGTAAGTAAGCTACAGGATGTTAAAGTCTTAGTATTTTTTTGATTTATTATAATTTTCTTCCAAGTACTCTTAGCGTTTGGAATGAAATTCCTTAGAATTTATAGTAACTTTTACCCTTAGGTAAAAGTTACTATAAATTAATATTTTTAAACTAAAAAATTCTCGACATATTCACCAGGGATGTGCATATGAGTTATCACTGGAATATTTTTTCTAAAAAAGCATGTACGCCACTGACTTTTTTCTCTTGTTAGCAAAATAGTTTTAGCAGTTTAATGCCGATTAAAAGTTGTCTCTTGATACTTTGTCGGTTTCTTGATGAGATAAACACAATTTTATTAATTTGCCTTGATCCAAGTCTAATTTCAACCTTTTAAAAATAATAATACCGTTAACTTCCCAAGTAACAAAATTCCGACTTCCAACTAGTTTTGACTACGCGCAACGTTGAAATTGGTACTTTTTCCTGCCCCATGCATACCCAAACTTCAAATTACGTAGCCAAAACGTCGCTACGACGTTGCACTTAAACAGTTGTATATTTTGACCCCTAACAACGTTGGTAAACGTTGTAGGGCACAACGTTGTTAGAAGTGGGGTTTTATACCGTTGTCATTACGTCGCCAGAAGGCATGTTTATTGTACTACAGAATAACAAACGTAGTACAACGTTGTGCAACGTACTTTTAAATTACGAGTTTACACTCGTAATTTACGTTGTATTACGTTGTAGTTAGTATGTACTTATGTACATATTAACTACAACGTAATACAACGTTTCATTAAACGACCCAAAGCAACTTCAAGATTATAAATTATAACCAATTACTACGTTGGATTACGGCGACGAGCGCGACGATATCGATTTTTGTTGTGGAAGCGGAACTATCTACACCTAACCTCACAAAAATTCTGTACTGTACTGTCACAGAGCAATTGGTTAGGTATTTTTTCTGTGGTACTTACTGTGTAAAGCGAAAAGAAGATGTATAGGAAAAAAGTATATAAATACTCTACAACTTTTTATAGAAAAAGGAAAAAGTATTTAGAAGAAAGTCAGCGAGCAAGTCAGTGTCTGAAAAATGAAGTGGAAATAACGAGTTTATGTTCGTCATCCACATCCTCGCAATGTGCTACAAGTGGTAGCTTATCATCAATGGATACTATAGAAATAAATACAGTACAGCTGAAGCCCATACAACAGAGGAATACTATGAGAATAATGATCCTCCAGAAGAGCAGTCAACTGAAATTCATCCTGACGTCTTTTCGACCAAAAGATAAAAACATTTTTAAGTCAGTGGAGTGTACAAAATAATATATCCCATTCAGCTGTAAACTAGCTTTTAAAAGGATTATCATCTTGTGCAACAATACTTCCTGTACGGCTTTTTTAACAATAAATAAATAGAAATGCTGATCTAATGTCAGCGATCTTATTAACGAGTATGTGACCACCACCACCAAAGGATGACCGGCTTTCTTCTTTATTTTATTTTTCTTTGGTAAAAAAGAGCACTGTAAGAAGGAATTTTGTTATTTACCTCCTAGATGTCGGTAGGGTTCAGAGGTCCTATTACGTCAAAGCAGGTGTCAATTTCTGAACCAAAGGTTGGCATAGGTGAGCTAAAGGTCGGTTACCGCACCTTATGCACTATATTGGTATTTTAAAGGTTGCGTTAGGCAATTCCGCCATTTTAATACGATTTATCTTTTCGTGCGTTGTGGACGAATCGAATAAAATATCAGAAACCACAAAATACTGCGAATTTCGTTAAAAATCTGTATCTGTTAGGGTTGTAAGCTAATTTTTCTGATAGATTTCGTATATTTGTCTCAAACTTAAACAAAAAAAAAGTTAGGTTAACCAAGTAAACTATAATTTTAAAATTAAAACTAGGAAATTAAAAAGGGGCTTTGCCATATTTCGAAGTATCATGGTACTTTCAACAGTAAACTAATCTTCGTTGATGAATTTCAATTGCCGACATTTCAAAACTTTGCAGATTTGTCGAAGTTAAATTCACCTAGTTATTTCTTAATGGAGCATAATATATTCCATTTCTAATTCATACATCATTCATTTTGGTTTCCCCATGGTTGAATATAGTAATATTTGACGACGAATGTTTTTAACTCTAACCCCAAAATATCGCGAATCGGCATGAAAAACAACTTTTAGCACACGACGTACTACGTCACCTCAAACAATGTCGCCAACGTTGGCGACGTTGTAGCGACCCTAAAAACAAACACCATTTTGGAGCAAATATGGGTCGCTTAGACGTCGCTTCGACGTTGTCCGGCAACGTTGGGTTGCTCCTGGCGACGTTGTGATTACGTTGAACAACGTAATTTTGCTACTTGGGTTGCTAATGTTTTAAATAAGTACTCAATGATTTCTCATCAAAAAATATGACAAAAATTTAGACTATGGAAATGCATACTTTTAGAGTTACAGGATGTTAAAACATTTTAAAATTAGAGGTTTTTCGTAATTATCTTAAGTACCATTATTTTTTATTTGAAACTGCTGTAGGTTTCACTTACCAGTACTAACAACTAATAGTAATAATATTTAATAATAAATTAGGTAAAATACATTATAATTAATTTATTAATTTTATTTTTAATTTTATTAATTGTGATTAATAAAATTGCGCTCGTCTCATCAAGGAGGCAGAATTCAACAAAATATCAAGAGATAACTTTTATTTGATTAATTGACATTAAATGGTCTACACAATTTTGGTATCAAAAGAAAAAAGTCAGTGGCGTACATGTTTTTTTTTTGAAAAATATTCCAGTGATAACCCATATGCAAGTCACTGGTGAATATGTTGACAATTTTTTAGCTTTAAAATATGTCGCATTTATAGTAACTTTTACCCTCAAAATTTCATTCGAATCACTATAAGTACTTAAAATTATAATAAATCGAAAGATTATTAAGACTTTAACACCCTGTAGCTACGAAACAAAGCAGAATCGGACCTATGTTGATATGAAAAATAAATAAATTTTTACGTGAGGAATTTCTCCACGAGAGATGGCACATGTTTGATATAATATATACAACACCCTGTATAAAAAGCGTATATTTTATGATGGTTATTATAATTCAAGCTAACATAGGCTGTCCAATTAGCTCGTGTGTCACGGCCTTGAATATTTACTCCCATTTACTATTCTTACTAGAGACATTTTTTGTTAAAGAAATGTCAATCGTAGATTATTATATTATGAATTTTATCTACAACCGTTTTTTACATCGCTATTTTTTTAGTATTTCAGTTACGTTATGAGATTCATAACACAACTAGTGGTGTTATGGTACACAACTAGTTTTTATAATAATGAACAATGACAACTACGAACATCTAAATATATTAATTTTTGATACAAATTCCTGCTACTGATTATTATAAATATTAATAACACATTTTTTACACTTCTTCAAAACAATTCTAATTTTTAAAATAATTTTTCTGTGCAAAAAGTGCTCGCGTTTACTTGACAGGGCAAACTGAGTTTTCAGAAAAAAAATGTGACAAATGTCATAGTTAAAGGTGTTACAGGTGGGCGACTAATAAACGAAAATTAAAACAGCATTTTCTTATTTTTCGGTTGTAGATAAAACGTTGTACATGACACGTGCGTTTAAACATGAGTACAACTATGGAGTGTAGAGGTAAGGAGAAATAACTCCGTGCATCAAAAAAAGGGAAGAATTAGGATGGCGCTGCTGTAGCAAGATCCTAAAATTTAAGACATGCGCCGAACATTTTAGAACAGATGATTCAAGACATAAATATTTGACGTGAAGCAAACGCGAAGCCGCGAGTTTCAAAAACATACAATTTTATTTTCATGTTGCATGAAATAAATTACAGATTTTTATTCAGCAGCAATAGACTAGGCCCTTTTTTTATCGTTTCTCATAAGTTATTTCGCAAATGTCATTCAAGACGACGAAAAGATATTCTGGTCGTTTTAGCTTAAAATTAATGGTAATTATAATTAAGAAAAAAATTATTTAAAGTAATAATTGGTGATGGGTTTACAATAAATATAATGCAGCTTTAAAATAACTTCATACCTACATTTATTTAGTATAAAAGTAAGTCAATATGTGGTTTTATTATCGATTATTCAGAAGCAAAAGACTGAGCGTCTTTTTTATTGTTTTTCATAAGTTATTTCGTAAATCTCATTCAACATGAAAAAGCTTTAGTTTAAAATTAATGTTAATTATAATTAGGAAAACTTTATTTGAAGTTTAATTGATGATATGGGATTTAAATAAATATAATGCAGGTCAAAAATAACGTAATACATTTTATTTAGTATAAAAATTAAGCCAATATTATGTAATTTTATACTGTACAAGTAGTTATTTACGTTTTGCTCTATCGTAGTTGCCATTCATTCAGAATAGTGGATTTTAAATGTTCGATAGTCGGATGACTTAACTACCTTAATATCAACTACTTCTAGACAAGAATCGTGTGCAGTATTATCTTCTTTTTCACTCCCAGCTATTCCAACATGGCTTGGGACGTGAAATAATATAATTTTATAGCCCTTCCAGATGCTCATGTCTTCCTTGTAGTTCACCCAATAGAATCGTTCTCGTAGCTTCCTCCCAAGTTGGTAGTTGCTATTCATTCAGAATAGTGGATTTTAAATATATTTGGTAGTCGGATGGTTTAACTATCGTAACAATAACTACTTTTAATAATTCTTTTTCTCAATTCTTTGCACTATAATTTGCATCCCACGTATTGTAATATTTTCCTTTGAATTTCGTTTCCTATTGTTCCATGGCTTGAGACGTAATGTTATAGCCCTTCCAGATCCTCATGTATATGTCCCTTTTCCTTGTAGTCCACCCAATAGAACCTTTCTCTTAGCTTCCTCTCAAGTTGGTAGTTGCCATTCATTAAGAATAGTGGATTTTAAACATGTTTCGTACTCGGATGGTTTAACTACTGTAACATCATAAATAAATTGTATACCAACACATAATGGCCAAACTTCAACAGACTTTAATATTCATAAACCTCATCAGAAGAAAATATTTTTGATCCAAAGTTTTTTTTTTTCATTATTAGAATAAATCTTCATTTAAAATTATGTGATACATCTGCTTGCTTGTAGGATCTAGACTCATAAACTCAATAATTTCTTTTATTGATATAGCCAATAAAGTGGTAATGCTGAAATTTTGTTTTTGATTTGAGCAATAGAGTCCATTATTTCCATTATTTGATGCTGTTATTGCTCTACAAAATGTTGATCTTTATCAAGGGATGTTTATGTGTATAATATTACTATTTATGTGTATAACTGTATGATCGAAAAACACGGCGTCCAGTTGGCTTGGAAATGAACATCTCGATGACATTCTCCATATCATTTTACATAAAAAATGACAGCAATCTTCATTTCATAGGCATCGCTGACGCCGTTTTTTATTCGATCAAATTGTACTTACGTGTATAATATTCATTTAATGGTTCCTGTTTTAGTTGCTGGTGTTCATATTTTGGTTTTTTATTCTGTTGTTGCTCTACAAAATGTTAATATTTATGTGTATAACATTACTCTTTCTGTGTATAATAATACTTATGTGTATAATATTCATTTAATGGTGCCCTTCTTGCTTGTTGCTGTTGTTGCAATTCAGAATTTAAATTAACCTGAGGCAGTAGGTAGAGCTTCATCCTCCAATATTTTCCTATGTAAATACTGAAGTGGACAGTATTTCTGATGACAATTTTATCACAAACTTCAACATCTTGTTCTTTAAAATGAAACTGCCATACCTTATCTGTAGATTTCAAAGCAATATCTAAATGCTTTTGACCATCACTGTAATCTAATTCTTGTCTGAAAATCAATACCTAATATTATCCTGATGATTTTGATTTTTGATAGATTATTAAAATACAGCACTTACAGTTAACTATATTTCTTCAAAGTACCTACAATTTTATGTATTTCCTACTTTTACTTGTTTAAAAAAATGCCAACAATTTATGCATGTCTGTCAAACTTTAAAATCATTAAAAATAAATTTTATTTAGGTTGTAACTTTATAAAAAGGATTGTAAAAATATACTTTGTAACATGTATGTTAATAATCTTACGAAAAATGTTTACTACACTTTTGATTGACTCTAATTTTTACATATAATACAAATAATACAATATTGAATTATATTATGTATTTTCCATACCGTAGGCTTTGCCTTTGCTCTTTATTTTTCCATCAGCTATTCAATCAACTTCGCACCACACACACTTTAACCATTGTTAAATAATAAATAAAGCACAAAATATTGATAAACAATAATTATTTTATATTCAACAACTCTGTCTAAAAAATAAAAACAAAACTTTTTTTGGGTAATGTTTGGTTATATTTATTTTTATTCTCTTACACATTCTCTTATCTATGGTTAGTTTTCATTTTTTTAGATTCATGCGTTTTTAGCGCCACTGTGGTCATTTGGCGAATCCTTATTCTTCCCATTTTGTGACCACTTTTTCAATAAAAGTCCCGTAAGAGTTGTTTCTCCTTACCTCTACACTCCATAATTACAACACTCGTGTGATTTGGTTTGGTTAATCGTTCACACTTTTTGTAATCATGTTCGTATATAAACACACTTGTACTGTAAATAACTATTACATATTGATTTCATATTATGAGTAGAACCGTCAGTTTCAGTAAATAAAAATAAATACTTGATTTATATAAAATCTACATGGGAGTGTTAGTATTTTATGGAAATAAAATTTCACAGAGGCTCTTCAACACAAATATATGCGGTTAACAAAAAACATAATGTTCCATAACTCTTATGGTTTCGAAAGTTACAAATAAAAATAATTTCAATTACTATACCGTAGTTCTGCTTTCAATCGACAGAGTGAGTGGTTGCCGAAGACAGTGTTGTCAGAACTACTGATTAATCCGTAGATTTACGGATTTTGGGTACAGTGCGTTAATAATACGGATTTTCTATCATTAAACAATTTAATATAATATTATATTATTAAACAAAGAACGGCGTCAGAGTTGGCTTGGAAATAAAGATCGCTGTTATTTCATATGTAAAATATTATTGTAAATGTCAATAATCGTCATTTCCAAGCCAACTAATCGACTTTTTTCGATCATACGATATATTCAGTACCTATAAAGGAATTTATATTTTTGTTGTTTATTTTATGTTTAACGCGAATAAATTTTCAATACATTAACGCGGATTTTTCATTCAAAGATATTTTTGTTAAACGTATTACAGATATTACACATTTTAATATGGCAACAGTGTCGCTTTTAGATCTACACCGTCTTCGATATACCTTCACTGGCCGATTTAGAGGAAATAAGTATTTTATGTGTTGACCGCAGAACGATTGGTGTCTCCATCGTACAGCACTTAAGACGTAGGGGGAAATCAAATCAGCCTTGTCACGAATTCGCCCATTAGGTGGCTATCTTCCCAATTCTTTCAATCAACGATAATAATTTAATTTTAAGGTTCATTTAAAATAATCCTAGCATTATTATTATACCCTATGATCGAAAATAAAACGACGTCTTTTAACTAAAAGTTGACATAAAACTTACAATTTATTAAGATTAAATTTTATTTAATTTAAAAATAATTTTACTCAATATAAAAATAATTACAACCTTCTTAAGGCCAACTGGCAGAAAACGTCATAAAAAAATATAGAAGAGTACGGGTAAACCAAGTAAATGCGTCTAGGGCTTGACCTCGCCAAAAATTATCATCGATTGTCATTCCCCAGCCGTCCTTGACGTCGTTTTTTTCAATCGTATGGTATTATAACATTATAAGAGTTACACTTATCAATTGATTAAAAATGATTCTATTTTTTCCATTTAGTATGCCATAGTATCGAACTATGGCATATTTTATTAAAATACAAATCTGTAAATATAGAGGGGGGGAAATGACCAAAAACAAGGATGGATTGGAGAGAGAACGCGATAAGCTGATAAACGAAGTGACTCAACTGAGTACCAAACTGTACAACGCCCTCAATTATCAAGAAGAGTTAGAGAAAAAGAATTCTGACGCTGATCTTCGTCTCAACGAGATATCAGGACAATTAGAGGTTAGTATTCGGAATTATAAGTTGACAGTGTAATTCGCCAAAAGAAGAAATTTACATTAGAAAATAGTTGTAGAATTTTTCCCGCGTTACCTTCAAGGTGTAAAATGCTCCCACAATAGTCCTCCTCAAAGTCTGGGAAAAATTCGGCTACATGTGAAAGATTGGTACCCAATATCGGCCGATTCTTGTAGCCGATACGTGCGACGAGGCTAAATCTAAAATAATTTTTCTAACGCTTCGTCCTACGTGGGAGACCAAAGCGCGCGATTCGGGCGGTGCGAGCGACGCGTATTTATCAAACAACATTTTCTTACGAAGCTGTCCTAGGTAGGAGATGGGCGCGACTAACGCTTCGTCCTACGTGGGCGACAAAAGCAGGCGATTCGGGCGATGGGAGCGACAAGTGTTTTTTCAAACACCGTTTTCTTCTGAAATCGTCCTGCGTCGGCAATGCAGAACACCTTTATAAGCGTAGATAACAGAGCTAATTCATAAGTTTCATAAGAAATTATTATTTGTTCATAAGAAAACGTTTTTTGATAAGGCCGCGTCGCTCGCATCGCCCGCTTTTGTCTCCCACATAGGACGAAGCGTAAAACGGCATGGTAGACGATTGAAATATGTCGCGCATGCGTCGCTCGCTCGCTTTTGTCTGCCACGTAGGACGAAGCGTAATACTTTATACGAGGGTTTTTTATATTTTGAATATTAGAGGTATTAGAGGTAGAAAAAAATTGTGTGTGCACTATGTGCGCATATTTGAAGTGGAACTTCGTACTAACAGCTATTAAATTGAAGGATTGGAAGGATATAGTTGGTTAGGTTGTGTTTTTTAAGAATGCATTTTATAAACTTCAAAAAAAAGAGTTAATATAAAACCGTATAGTACTCTAGCTTTATAAATTTATGTTTTTTTTTCATTTTTATTCAAAAACGATAATTCTATTACCCGGCCGGATAGCTGTGGCCATTAAACCAAAATACTACTACATCTATATATCCGACTACTACTAACTGCTACTAACCAACAATTTGTTTTGTGTAGTCTATGGTCTGTTTTTGTTTAAATGTTTTGTTCAAAGATTATTCATGTTGGGGATTTATTTTTAAATTAATGTTAATCGTTAGGTAACCAGTAAACTCATAGAATATGTATTTCTTTTGCATAATCAAAATTGCCACTCTAAATTTTAAATAACCAAATTGTCACTCTAAATCGCTGTCTTTTTTAGACAGATGTCACTTGTCTTGTCATTATTCAATCCATTATTCTAAATTCTCAGAATATTGCTAACAAACTACTTCCCATAGACTAATGTCACGTACTAGAGATAGATTGGACACTGATATAAAACAAATAAGTCCATCATTTAGAGCCACCTGGTGATCCGGAAGAAACTAATGGAGAGTTTTAGCATAACATAATTTTAGCGTTCCGTTGTTTATTAACGCTAACCAAACCGGTAACGTTATTCAAGCGCAAAATTATTCCTTGTAAAATATAAAATAATAAATATAGACTTGTTTACTATATTTTATGTTTTATTTGATCATTAAAAGTGTAACACATTCAAAACTAAAAATAAAATTATGAAAACATACATTTTAAACACCAACAATAGAGCACATACCGCCTATTTTTTTGATTTAACAAATAAATTATAATATAGTATAGACTAGTACTTAACTATTACTAAAAATACTATATTACCAACTATGTACTTACTTATTTATGATTAAACATTTTTTTTAGTTTGTTCATAAATGTATTATTTCTCTAGTCTAAAATGTCTTTAATAAAAATGTTTAGTATCCAGCACGAAAATAATGATCGACTGTAAATATCAAAATGCACAAATGAATAAAAACATAAACTATAAACACAAATCACCGAACTTTCCGGCAAATCAGGAATATCTGAATTAATAATTATTTAAAAATGATTTAAAAATAACTTGACGGATCACCAACATTTTGACAACTAGACCATAGACGGTAGTAAATATAGAGGCTGTTATGTCACCTTCATATATAAATTAGAAACCTGTACTTTAATGTCTTTTGCGCCACCTGGCGATGCAGAAGAAACTAAATTTTTAGTTCCATAAAATTACTATTGAGTGTCTAGGACCTGCTATTTCCATACCTCAAACGTTTTCTATTATATTAACCCATACCAATCTCTGATAGTTTTCGAAATAAAAAAATAAAAGATGTGTAAAGTTGGCAAAAACATGATCTTGAATAATTATATTGGTTAAATCATAAATTCGGCATATTGAAAGCTAAAATTTGTTACTTTTAGCTTAACTAAAATCTGTCTAAATCAACTGATTGGATATCAAATAGGGAGGTCAGAAAAAAATAATTATTTCCGTTTGTTATAAAGTCGTTCAAATTATTGTTATTTTAAATTCAAGCCTATGTATATTATTTAAAAAATCGAAACCCAAATAAAATTTCTTTTCAACGATATATCTTGTTCCTATACCTAAACCTTCTGATTTCTTCAGTAAATCCATTTAAAAGATAATAACTCACTTATAATTGTTTCTTTTAAAGAAAATCGTTACCATGATAAATATTCAAACTTTATAAGTATCAATTATGGAGCGTAGAGATTTGGGAGATACCTCTACACTCGCATGGGAGATATCTCTACACTCTATATAAATAGTATCAATTAGAATTTATGTGCTAAAATTCTAAAATTATCATGGTAACGAAATTCTTAAAATGAAAATATAATAATAGAATTATTAATTTTTAAATAGCTCTACTTAACATGATATAGTCTGTGAAACGAATAACTTTGAATTTGACAGTTCCCGCGGGCTTTTCTAGTGTTAATTTTATTAGGTTAGCAACTTGCGGCCATGCTGATGCAATGCCGTCTTTAATAGATATATTATATAATCCTATATATCTCGGAGCGAGATTTATGACGTCACGCTAGTTAGATACTACGGATTAATAAATATGTTGTAGAATACATGGAAAACATAATTATTCCTCGTATTTTTGGTTTGTATTTTAAAAATGATATAGTTTACATGAAATATACATAATGTACTGTTAATAAATACAATATACGAGTATATACCTATTTATAGTAATAAATACTTTGGCAAATAATCTATGAACCATATAAATGCAGTAAATGATTTAGAATATGGCTGAAATCGTACTCCATTGTCAATGTAGGTAGTTTTAGTGTTAAGAATAATAATTTAAAAAAATATGTGGTCATCTTTTGACAAGTTTATATTAGTTTATTAATTGCAGTAAACATTAGGTATGTGGTGTGTGGTGTGAATATTTTAATATGTAATTTTTTGGATTATATTCGACACTATTTTTTTCATATGACACAACACTGATGAAGGCTATAATGTTAGCCGAAACGTTTTTTTTAAACCAAATAAAAATGATGTAAAACCAAATGAAAACTTAATCAGCGTTTTTCCCGAACCTAAATACCAAAAAAATCCGCCTTCGAAATGACGCCTTTTTTTCTATGATATTGTATTATTTGCAAATATAATTTTTCGAACACTAATAACAATACATCACTATTAGTAGATATTGAATGTTTTTTGTTAAATTAGATCGATTTTCAAACCCCAAAATGTAAAATATATTTTACATTTTACCCATTATCTTTTGTACCTATTCATTATTTGTATATTGTAAAACATTTACTGTATTTGTATGGTTCATAGTTTATTTGCCAAAGTATTTATTACTATAAATAGGTATATATATTGTATTTATTAACTGTATATTATGTATATTTCATGTAAATTATATCATTTTTAAAATACAAATCAAAAATACGAGGAATAATTATGTTTTCCATGTATTCTACAACATATTTATTAATCCGTAGTATCTAACTAGCGTGACGTCATAAATCTCGCTCCGAGGCTGTTCTATTAGAGACGGTATTGGTCTGATATTTAGAAATGTCAAAAGCTGATGACATTTTACTTTTGACGACATTTTGTGTTGATTTGCAAGAAGAGGAAGAATTGTCACTTGTTTTATTATTTTCCTTTTCTATTTCACGAAAGTTAAAAGAGTTACCTACTTGATTTTTTTACCTACGTTCAGGCACTCAATTTAAAGAGTATCAGTAACTTTTTTGATAGAGGAATTATATATTTGCCATGTTGGTAAAGATAACGGTCAAAATTCAAAGTTATTCATTTTATAGACTATAACATGATAACATGATATATAGTTGAAAAGCAATTTTATTAGTCTTTTGATTTTTTAAATAATATACATAGGCTTGAATTAAAATAACAAAGATTTGAGCAATTTCATAACAAACGGAAATGCTCAAATCTTTGTTGCTCTCCCTGTGTAATATCCAATCGGTTTATTCAGACAGATCGAATATATCGACTTTCGTTAACTTATAACCCAAATTGCAATTTTAAAAGTGTTTAATTCATGATTTTACCAATGCTTATTCACGCTAAGGTTTTTGTCAATTTTACACATGTTTTATTTTTTATCCCAAAAACTATTAGAGATAGGTATAGGTTGGTATAATAGAAAAATTATGAGATATGAAAGTAGTTTCACCCCTAAGTAGGGAAAGTAGGGCTCACCCCTATAACTTTTTTATTTTTTAATTTAAAAAAAAAGAGATTTGGTTTGTTAGTATATGACATAAATTATGATTGATTGATATATTCAATTGTTTTTGGTCACTTCCTGTTTCACCGGAAATGACTACAACTTTTGATATTTAAATGGCACCCTCGGTATTTTTATGCGATAGAAATCATATGTCACCTTTTGACATCTTCGCATATGGTTTATTTGAAATTATAACTTGTGGTTTGTAATGAAAATTTGACTTGAAATACCAAGTGTGTGGTATCAAATTATTCGTAAAAAAATACTTTTTCCAAATATGCTAATGAGCCACCCTCGTTCCATTTGAAAAAAATGAGATATGATTAAAAATACGATTTGAGCATTTTCTAACAGGCCAGGACAAGACACTAAAAACATTAGATAGTCAAATCTATTTTTCCAGGGATCCTTGATTAAGAATTAGTGTTTATAACATAACCATGGCGCTCTAGATTGAATTTTAAATTACGATTTTTTATTAAGCGAGAATTCAAAAGTTGTAGTCATTTCCGGTAAAACAGGAAGTGACCAAAAACAATTGAATATGTCAATCCATCCTAATTTATGTCATATACTAACATACCAAATCTCGTTTTTTTTATCTGAAAAAATAAAGAAGTTATAGGGGTGAGCCACTTTTGAGACGCACCCGGTATATGGAAAATATAAAAAACAACCCTAGTAATTAATGCTAAAGAAGTACAGAATGCATTATCATTTATCTCTTCTAATATAGGATCAAGCCGCCGAAATTCTACGAGGTAAACGTGCCAAAGAAAAACTGGAAAACGACCTGTTGGAAATTTCGTTCAAAATAGAAGACAAGGAGGCGGCGTTGCACGAACTGAACGGCGTGATTTCCGAGCACACCAAGCGCATCGCTCGACTCGAACAAGAGCTCAAGGATCAGAAGACGGCGAACGATAAAATCCAAAAAGAAAACGATCAGAACGTCACTAAGTTGGCAAAGCTGCACGACGACCACAACAACATGATATTCGATTTCGATAAACTGAAAAAACTGTACCAATCGAAAATGGTTGATATAAAGGTATGTACACACAACCAAACTTATATGCGGAATCATCTATTACTTTTCATAATTCTTGAGACGTATGAAAATGTTGTGTTTATAAATAAAACTCAGTCCTTGTCAATGACTTTTAATGAAAAATAATATATATAGCAATAAGATAGCAATAGAAAAAATAATCAGTTCCCAAAATAAACACAATGCTATTTTTTTGATTTCTGAAACGAAATTAAGATTTAAATTTTTAATGGCCAAAAAGCAAAAACAAAAAGAAAATTGATAATTTTAATAATCCTTCTTGTCACATCTAGCCCTTATGCAAGCGTCTATCCGCGCTGACATGCTTTCCAATTTTGCTAATGCTGCGTCAATAAAACCCAACTGTGCGAGATTTCCTGGATTGTTTCGACGAGCTCTAACTCTTCCTTTGAAGTGTTCGATAGGGTTTAGATCTGGTGAACATGCAGGCCAATCGAAAACTATGAGACCTTCCGTTTCAAGACATTTTCTAGTCACTCTACTGGTATGGGGAGGTGCACTATCGCGCATGGAATTAAAATTATCCCCAATTGCAGCTAAATCAACATACCTCCGACCCGTTAAAGTTTGTTGAAGTGGTAACAATAAAGTTTTTGCTCCCAGCATAATACCTCCCTAGAATATTACAGTTCCTCCTTTATATCTTGGTACAGATTTGGCAGCCTGGAGTTTCACTCTTCTTCTCAAGCTCTGAGAACCCGAATTCAATGATCATTTGATCTTAGGGCAATTCTGGTCTCATCCGAAAAAAAAATTACCAATTCTCAGTTATCCAGTTTTGATGTTGGAGGCATCAATTTAGCCGGTCAATTTTACTTTGCCGAGGTAACTGTGAGATCCGTAGCTCTCTCCTGCTGTAAAACCCTCGAGTACGAAGTCTTTTTCTTATGGTATTAACTGAAACGTTCACACCTGTAGCTGCCAGAACTTGTATTTGTCGCTCTGGATGAGAAACATTGAGATTTCTTCTAGCAATATGGCACACAAGGCGGTTGTTCAGTTGTGACTTTGTCTGGGCCTGTCCTTGTGTGTTCCTAATTCCAAGTAAGTACCTTGCCTATGTTTTCGATACAACAGCCTGGGTAACGCACACTATCTCTGCTAGGTCTCTTTGGGGCATTCCTTCTTCAATGAGAGCAATATTTCTTCCCCTCTGTACATCTTTAGTAAGCATTTTTTTTATTTTATGGTTCGAATGAAAATTACCGGACAATTGTGATTTTACTACTAAACACAAAATTCAAAAGAAAATAAATCGCAGCAGTCGTTTATTCTTTATTATCATGTTTATTTACAACAAAAAGCCTTATCTTAAAGTTGTATACCAATTTTTATCCTTCCAAGAAATTTAGTCAGAAATAAAGAATGATTCCATATAAGTTTGGTTGTGTTATGTAAAGGTAAAAGTGAGTACAGATATTTTCTAAATGTATTCGTATCTAACTAGATATGGGGACATTCCGGGAATCTCATTTTGAGGGAATGTTCCTGGGAACGTTCCCAGGAACGTTCCCCAAATCGGGATAGTGATGGGAATGGAAAAAATTTTAATGTTATGAAAAATTGGACATATTCCCCAAAGCAGAAAAGTGATAAAGTTAAGAAAGTATAACTTTCAAAATATATTTAATTTTCATTATTCTCATAAATCTAATAATAAATCAAGTTACTGTTGTCAAGGCCTGTTCATAACTTTTCCAATGTTTTGATTACTTTTCCGAAATTTAAGAAAAGTTCCCGAAAAGTGGAAATGTTCCGAGGAATATTCCAACTCGCATCAAAATACAACTTTCCCGAATTTCAGTCACTTTCCCGACCTTAGAGTAACGTTCCCGGAACATTCTCGGAACATGGGAATGTTCCCTGAGGCACGTTCCGACCTGCACATCACTATATCTAACTGAAAATGATTTTGTATCTATGAATTCTGAAACAATAAAGGTAAATAAAAAGTTAATAGGCCAAAGTCGCCTATATACCATACTGGCTCCTAAATCGTACCTCTTCCATATCTTTTTTTTTGGGAGATAGGAGACATCTTCAAAGGCACTACTAAGTTCGTATCCGCCAATTACCATTTCATAGCGGAATCCGCTCTTTCATTTCCTCAGTGCAAAGAGTGTTTTTAGATTTTCTTCATGATGCTCATTGCCTCTCTTTTCTCTTTTTAGAGATCCAGGCTGACTGTGCATTAGAACTCTTTCTAGAGAACTACAATATCTAAATCGGAGATTTTTTGCACATCATTGTTTTACAACGAGATCTATTCATAAAAATATTTTCAATATGGCGGCACTAACCGGATATACTGGAAGTTGACAGCAACTTTCATATTTTAAATGGGTGCTCCCATTTTTTATTATATACTTAGATTCTCTGAAAATTTTTATGAATTTTGATATTAACACTCTATATCTAACATTAACCGATTTTGGACGAAAAAAACTGCCTGTCGAAAAAAATTGTATAGCCTAAACGTCAAATTTATTGATTACCACAGCCAGTGTGACATAAAGAGAAGACATGTGGCTATCTACTTCAAAAATTAAATTGGTCGAATGTCATATAATAATGGCGGTAGCTGTCATGGAATTATCATATATGTTTTTTTTTCAAATGGAAATCCAGTTTTTTTATTTCACTGGTTAAAAGGTTTTTCAATTCCTTAATTTTTGCCTATACATATTCCTATATCTAAAATAAATCGTTTTTAAGTTATTTAAGGTTATATTTTAAAACGTCCGATACAGCACACTTCGTCCCAGGGACGTACATTTTATGTCCATTTTACGTCGGCGTCGGTACGTCCCGGGACCAATTAGGGACGTACTATGTACGTACAAAAGTATACGTACATAGTACGTGCCCCATGTACGTACTACCGTATGATCGAAAAAAAACGGCGTCCAGTTGGCTTGGAAATCATTAGCATTACATCGTTGACATTCCCCATATAATTTTACATATAAAATGACAGCGATCTTCATTTCATAGCCATCGCTGACGCCGTTTTTATTCGATCATACGGTATTTACGTACATTGTAGGACTTCACTACGGACGTACATGCGAGTACGTACTACGGACGTACATGCGAGTATGTACTACGGACGTACATGCGAGTATGTACTACGGACGTACATGCAAGTACGTACTACGGACGTACATGTGAGTACGTACTACGTATGTATCTTGAACATTTTTGAAAACGCATTACAAAATGTTATTTAATTTTAATATCATGACTGGATTATTTTGGTCAGATATACCCAATAATAATGAATGGACTGGATCAGTGGATCTTTTCTAGGCTAACGTTAATTCAAATCACTCTAACCTACCTCTACTTCTTTTATTAATAAATCTAACCCGACCGCTATAAAAAAATGATTTCCTAAATTATCCAATGACCATAATGCATGACAGCCTTTGAAGAAATCTGATGGGTTAAAAATGCAATATATTATGCAATCAAGCCTAACAGAAAAATTATGCAGTCCTATGTTTAAATTTCTCGCTAAGTTATTCGTTCACATTCGAGTCTTGTCGGAATCGGAAGTCGGGCGGTTTCTAATGGCGTTTTCGATTGGCAGAGCTAGAGCGCACGTGCGCACTCAGTGTAGTTCCATCTTTTATTAATCAACGTAAAAAATAAAAACAACAATACACTGAGTGCGCACCTACTCCGATCCAGTTTTCGATTGTGTTGTGTGTCATGGTGGCCGTAGGTTGTTTGGCTTCGACCTTGTTTTCTTTTGTTGTTGCCTTCGTTGCTCGTTGTTTCAAGGTAAGTTAAAGTGTAATAATATAATGTGACTATTTCACCTAGCACAGACACAACCTCGAATGATTGAGAATCGGCTCATTCAATTTTTTCAAAACAGAGGCAAGAATTAGATATTTGAATACTTAGTTATCTTTTTGTATTTTGTAGTTAGAAGCAGTTCGAGAATAAAAAAATAAAATATCTATCAACATCCAATAAAAGACAGAGTGCGCTAAGGGTGTAGTTGCCGGACCGAAGCTAGACTCAGGGGTGTATCAAGACATAAGGGATGACCCTGTACCTGAGTTTTTATATTAATAAATATTTTAAGCTGACTTCCATTGAATTATTTCTAATTAAATTCCTAGGTCGTATACCGTCGTTGAAAAATGTACGTCCATAGTACGTACATTGTACGTCCATAGTACGTACATTGAACGTCCATAGTACGTACATTGTACGTACTTTCGATCATTTTACGTCCAGTTTTGGTCCGGAACAAAACATAAAATGTACGTACCTGGATAGTACGTACATGCGACGTACATAGTACGTACATTGCCACGTCCCAGGGACATACCGGGAACGTACAGAGCGTTGGAAAATGTACGTCCTCGGTACGTACATTGTACGTACCAGGGACCTGACGTTCGTCCCAACATTGCGTACCAGGTACGTACATAGTACGTACCGTGGCTGTATGGGGTATATTACTTTGACATTTGGGTAATTACTTTGACATTAAGTGTCAAACAATCAGACACTTTATTTCCATCTGTCAAAGAACTAACTATTTGAATTTTTTATACTATAAATACTGTACGCTTAAGAGTTTAAAAAGTATATTTATAAAAATATATGTCGTACTTTTCGCTCTTTAGTGATATCTAATAGTTGATAATAATATTAATATACCGTATATATGATCGCAAAAAACGGCGCATACTTTATGAACAAAATGTCACAATATGACATGGCCACATCTATTGTTTTACACTCGGTTTTACATCACTTGACGTTTAGTCAGAGGCTATATACTGGTTAAAATCAAGAAAAATATACGCTTTAAAACTAAATCTTAAATAATTTAAAAACAATTACTTATATACAGTATAGGAACATATATAGGCAAAAAGTAATGAATTGAAAAACCTTTTCACTAGTGAAATAAAAAAAGTGGGTTTTCATTTGAAAAAAAATATTTATGATAATTCTTTAATTGATCAATTCCGCGACAGTTACGCCATTATATGTCATTATATGACATTCGAACAATTTAATTTTGGAAGTAGATAGCCATATGTCTTCTCTTTATGTCATAGTGGCTGTGGTATTCAATAAATTTGACGTTTAGGCTATACCCATATTTTTGACAGGCAGTTTTTTTCGTTCAAAAATTTTAAATATTTTTTTTCTCAAAAACAGTCTATGTTAGATATAGAGTGTTTAATATCAAAATTCATAAAGTTTTACAGATAATTTAAGTATGTAATAAAAAATGGGACCACCCATTTGAAATAAGAAAGTTGCTGTCAACTTCCGGTATTTCTGGAAGTGCCGCCATATTGAAAATATTTTTAATCGATAGATCTCGTTGTGAAACTATGAGGTGCAAAAAATTTCCGAGCTAGATGTTGTAGTTCTCTAGAAACTTCTAATGCACGCTTAGCCTTGGACACCCTGTAGAACAAAAATCTATCTTTAAATAATTTGTTTTTAAATGCAATGTTTTATGATAATATTAGGCCGGTGAAGAAGAAGTAATGCGCTTGAAAAACGACGTGTCCAAAATAGCCAAGTTGAAGGACGCCCTCGAGAAGAGACTGATAGTAGTAAATCAAGAAAAAGACGAATCTCTGATGGACAAGAACTCGATGCGTCAGAGAATTGCCCTCCTAGAACACGAAATAGACGACTACAAGCGGTTCGCGATGGAAGACAAGCGCATCATCGAAACGATAAACAAGGAAAAGGACGTGCTCAACAAAACCATCCTGAGACAGCAAGTCGTGGCTCGCGACCAGTTGAAGCTTATACAAATCCAAGACCAGAGCAAAAAGAAACTCGAACTGGAACTGGACAGTTTCTTCATCGAAAGCGGTAAGCACAAGAAGCAGATTCATCATTTGGAAGTGGAACGTGATAGACTCGCGGAAGAACAACAAGACCTGACCAAGACGATCGAAGACAACCTGGACGACATTCGCGAAAAGAAGGGCCTCATTTTCGACCTGAAAAAAACGATTACCGAGAACGAGAATCAAATCAGGCAACAGCAGAACACGTACGAAGCCATACGTGCCGATCGTAACGCTTTGCAAAAGTCTGTCCAAGAGGCTACGGCTGAAGGTTGTGAACTGCGTAGGAAGCTGAAGATTGTGTTCCATCAAACCGAACAGTTAAAAGAGGACATTGCGGTGAAGGAAAAACTGCTTATTAAAGATGAGAATATAATGAGGAAGATCGCAAAGGAGAAAGAAAATCTCAAGTAAGACTATATGAGATTTAATTTTTGTTTATAATCCTGGTCATGGAATTGTTGCATGAACTAAAAGCTTTCATATCATCTACTTACATCAAGCTTACATACTTTTACTACTAGATTGTGGATATCATCGCTACCTTATAAATCTATTGTGTCTCCCTTTCTTGAATTATAACTCATCATACAGTCTCAGGGTTTTAACAAAACCAGTATCTGAGACGGTTTTACAGACGTTAGTTCTTCATCTCCGATATCAGTCGTACTAAAGTTTATGGTACGAATGGTCATCGTCTCAGCACACTAATTGATGAGGTGTTCTGGTGGTACCTAATTTTCCACCCAGACCTGCATTCGGCGTTGTTTTTTAGCTTTTTTTAATATACTGACAGTGTCTCCTCCAAAATTTGTTTTGATGTATTTTTGTTTAAATAATGATTCCACAACAGTCGATTAATTCTTAATTTCATTACATAAAACTTTTGCATAATATCAGGAGATTTATATTTTTATCACCTTTAACAAGGCTTTTTCTTGCTTAGGATAGAGGTAATGTCTGGTATAAATCAAATACGAACGCTAAAGGAAGATATCAAAGAGCAAAAAGAAGAAGAAAGACGGTTGCATAAGACGATTTTAGACCACGAACGTACCATTAGGCAGCAGATTAAAGATATCGAACAATTTATGAACGAAAGAGATGTCATCGGATCTCAACTCGTAAGAAGAAACGACGAAATTGCCTTACTGAATGAAAAAATAAAGATCCTTCAATCTACATTGTGTAGAGGTAATTTTTATAAAATAGTATGTGATAAGTTTATCCTTATTATAACCATATTAATTTACAATGACTATCAAATACGATTAAGGTCTGTTCTGGAAGCTGGGTTTTCTCATTTTTAGCTATTACCGTGCAAGCTCATATGCTATACGTTGAAAAAAAAAACGGCGTTATAGTTGGCATGAAAATGAAGATCACTATCATTATATATGTAAAATTATATGGTGAATGTCATCGATTGTCGTTTCCAAACCGCGATCCCGAAATCCCGGTGTATGCTTATCATCGAAATTAAATCTCAGGATAATCTTCAAAAATTATTATTATTATTTGACAGCCCAATCTAAAATGATTCGACTTTATATGCTTTAGTCTTTCAAAGATTATATTTTATTTATACTAAGCGGAACGTCAATATATCTAAAAGGTTTATTTCCTTGTTTGCTATATATTATTTTTTCTTGCAATTTTTTTACTTACTAAATATGAATGTTACTTTATTTTTTCTATTTTAATACAGCTCTTTCTCATTTTCTATTTGATATATGTAACTGCTGCTTTTTATTAAGTGTTTCTATAGATTAAATTTATCACTCTGTTATCAATCCCGGGACACCGTTATCCCGGGATTATAGTTTCTTATCCCGGGATTCTAAAACGGGATTCCGATCCCGAAAATTGGGAACTATTTCCAAACCTACTTGCCTTTTTTTATAGTACGGTATATCCTTCACAGAAGAATGTGATAAAGACCTAGACTCCTTATTGACAGCAAGACCAAGACTCAGACCAAAGGAGTATTGGTCTTGCATTTGCTCATTACTATATTCTTCTTCTTCTACTTATTTGAGATCTAGTCGATCTGTTAGTTTTAAGGTTGCCTCTGTAGGAGTTCTTGGGAGATGGACTGCCAACTGTTTTTCCATCTTTTTGGAGGCTTTCCCGGCTATCTCTTACCCAAGGGTTTTCCTTCAAGAGCTATTCGGGGTAGTCTGTTTTTTTCCATGCGTTTTACGTGTGCAAACCATTGTCTTTTGCTTTGCCAACCCCATCTCACTACGTCCTGTATTCCACATTGTTGTCTGATGACAGTTTGCATCTTACCGGCTCTTTACGATATTGAGCTATATACTATATAATTCTACTTATTAGTTGATAAATACTCTGTATCTTTAATAATAACAAATTTACTAACATTTCCTGTAATAAATCTAATTTTGTAGGAGAAACACACTATGATCAACGACTTGAAGATATTAAGTTGCTAAAGATCGAGGTGAAAAGACTAAGACAGGAGAAATTGCTCATGTCCAAATCGATGACGAATATGGTCGATTTCAGGCAGGAAATCTTCCATTTAGAACGGGATTTGACAAAATCTAGATTGAAATGTACCGCTTTGGAACAAGAGATGCAAAATCCACTCAACATACATAGATGGAGGAAGTTGGAAGGCTCCGACCCTGAAGTTCTGGACCTGTTACAGAAAATAAAGATTTTGCAAAAGTATGAACTTTTTTTTTGGGGAGGAGGGGAAAAATCTTGCATAAGACACCGTTGGGTAGTGTCGGATTCCTACCGACTAAAAAAACCCTCCTCGCATACCAACGCTCTATCCAGCTGGAAACCGCTTGAGCATTACTTCAGCTGGAAGGCTCTCTATGCGGTATGGCCCTGCATTCTATTTTCTTTGGATTGTATTTTTTCTCGAATGCATCTATATGTAATTTTCAATGATGTTTCACCGCTCAGCAGCCGTTGCATCATATTTTTAGCATTAAAGACTTGTCCGCCACTGTCCCGTTTGGAATGACTCTCTAAACTGCTTTCATTCAGTGCAGAGGAATAGTGTGTGTTCGAGACTATCAACTTCCTTGCAATACATGCACAAATTTGAGGGGGATCTCTTCCTTTTATTTTTATTAACAGCTATTTGTACAGGGTGGCCCATTGAAAACGTTCCGCAAGGCATAACGGCTAGGGTATTCTTTTTTTCAAAAGATCCAAAAACACGTCAATTTTGTTTGCGAGGGCAACTTTTGCCCCAAAAATGATTGCAAAATCTACAACCCTCTGAGCGGGGGCGTCATCCCCCAACTTTTTTCAAATGGGAAGGGGGGTCAAGTGACGCCGCAATGAAAAGAGCTTTCTATTCTCTATGTTTCCCCGCCTCGTTTTTGAAAATCGGTCGAGTCATTGAGAAAATATGAAGGATTGAAATTTGAAAAGTTTATTTAAACATTTATCAGAGTAAATGATAAGGATAAATTCCTTCGACCAATTTGAGTTTTTTTCTTATGTTTACGCATTTTTTCACTTGCCACATGGTAGAACGATCAGGTGCGGTAGTTGCTAGATAGCTGTTCTGTGAATTGTGCGTTGAAGTTCTTCTCAATATCGTTAAACTGATCTACAATAGAATTTCCAAAAATACCAGCCCACACGTTCAATTTTCCCAACGAGGGTTTTGTGTGTCAACCCAACGAGGGTTTTGTGTGTGCACCCCGTGAAAAATCCTGGGGTTGTCCTCAGCCCAGTACCAACAGTTGTGCCGATTAACTACATCGTTCAAAAAGAAAGTAGGTACACTCATCCGAAAAACACACATTAAATAGGAAATTATTATCATTCGCCACTCGTTCAGTCATAGTTTCACAAAACTGCAAGCGACGATCAAAATTGTCTTCGTTGAGATCTTGTACCAACTGAATTTTTATACGGGTGCAACTTGTGTTTTTTTTTATTATCCTTTGGACATTTGTACGATTCACGCCGCCGCCGCCGGTCTCATTGGCTAATTTTCTTGTACTCAGCGTACTATCCATGGCAACTTGGCCCAATACGTTCATTTACTACAGGATTTTCCCTCTGCCTCTTTTTATTCATAACGGAACCAGTTTCCAGAAATTTTGCTACTAACTCGCCAACAATTTTGCCATAAAGGCGTTTGTCAGGATGGCGCAACCCGATTGCCACATTCATTATTTATAAAATAAAGTTCGATTTTTTCCACTTTTTCTGCAAGTGGGTACACCATAATAATTGTTAAAAAGTTTAACGATATTGAGAAGAACTTCAACGCATAAGTCACAGAACAGCTATCTAGCAACTACCGCACCTGATCGTTCAACCTTGTGGCAAGTGAAGAAATGCGTAAACATCTAGAAATAATAAGAAAAAACTGCAAATTGGTCGAAGGAATTTACCCTTATCATTTACTCTGATAAATGTTTAAATAAACTTTTCAAATTTCAATCCTTCATATTTTCTCAATGATTCGACCGATTTTCAAAAACGAAGCCGGAAAGTATAGAGAATAGAAAGCCCTTTTCATTGCGATACCACTTGACCCCACTTTCCATTTGAAAAAAAATGGGGGATGACACCCCCGCTTAGAGGGTTGAAGATTTTGCAATCATTTTTGGGGCAATAGTTGTCCCCCTCACAAACAAAATTGACGTGTTGTTAAATTTTCTGAAAAAAAAAATTACCCTGGTCGTTATGCCTTGCGGAACGTTTTCGATGGGCCACCCTGTATAAATAGCTGTTAAAGCATCCGTGCCCTGTCAATGCCTGAGTTAGAAAATAGTCTGTCTCTCCAAGTCTTCTGTCTAACCAGGTATTAATGTCTGGTATGAGATCATGTGTCCATCTACCTTATCTATCTAGATCCCACTCCTTTTGCCATTCATTTATCAGTATGCTTCTTACCTCCAGTTTTGATATCCCTTTGTATCTTTCTCTTCTCTCCTCTACAAGTAGGTGAATAGGAGGACCCCGGATATGACATTAATGCTTCAGCGGAGACGGTTCTATATGCAGTGCAGATCTTGAGATTCAAAGTATGAACTTGTTAAGTACTATCTGTTAGTTAAATATACGATACTGACCAATGGAATGTTAATTACATTTAAACATTTTTTTAGGTGTTTCGCTGCGACCTTTTCAGATCTATTTTGGTTCTTTTCTGATCTCTAGGTTGCATTCTCCAGGCCTATCCATTTCAAACAGTCTAATAACTTGGAGACTGAAGCTCCCTATACTTCAATCATTGCCTAAAACAAACTTAGAAGAAATTCAACCATATTTTCATGTATTTCTTAATTTTCTCTGAAACGGTATGAAAATTTCAGAATTCAGAACAATTTCAGAACTCAAATTTTTTTTATGAAGAATGCATTTTTCTCAAAATGTCAATAATAAAAAGTTTTGTGCCTCTTGTAAAGACAATCCGGGGACATACTGTTAATAGGTATCTACAAAACAATCTCTAATATTAGTTAATTTATAGGAGACTTATTAATCAAGCGACTCAGGCAGTTGAAAAGGAAAGGCAATTGAAAGAGGCAGAACGACTTTACTTAAATTTAAGAAAAGTAGTAGCAAAACAGCCTGGGCCAGGGCTACAAGATCAGTTGACGAAAACTCAGAGAGCACTCAAAGCGAGAAGTGATAGATTAAAGGTAAATTCCGTAAATTCGTAAGTTCGCTTTTTATTAGAACGTAACTCATCGGCAAAAGTCTTGCACCCCCTTACTATTTTAATAAAAAAATTACATTTCAAACTAATTTTTTGTGGAAATCAATAGATGGTAAAGTTATGTTAAAAAATAACACAAAAAAGGGAAAACTTTCACCAAGTTCAATAATATATTTTGCCAAAATACAAAAAAAATGCAAATTCCATAAAGAAAAATGTTTGACAAAAAAGAGAAAATAAAAAAATAAATAAATAATAAATGCTGACCAAATTAAGGTTACTAATATAAATATTGCCTCCTCGATTTGTTATGAGTGTATCAAGTCGTCGGAGTATCCCCACTATAGGGTTGTTTATGGTTTCTTGAGGTAAGTTCTGCCAGTCCTCTTGAGCGGCAATGATCAATTCCTGGCGATTTCTTTGTGGGTTATTTCTGCGAAATGCAGCTCTGGTGATGTAGTCCCAGACATGTTCAATGAGGCCAGTCCAGACGAGTTATTTCCCCTTCATTTAATGCTTCCTTGACCATCCTAGCTCTGTGAGGACGAGCGTTGTCATCCATGAGAATAAAATCATTGCCGATTTCTTCTCGCAGAGGATAAATAATTGGTGTGATTACAGTTTCCACATACAAATGGGCGTTTATCACCTCAGGAATATGAATGAGCTCTGTTCGCCTATTGTACATGATACCACCCCAGAACATCTCAGTTCCTCCTTGATAAGGAGCAACAGCTAAGACTGTATTCACGCGATGCTGCCTCCCTGCCTCCCTCCATACTCGCTGACGATAGTCATCACTGATCAAACCTATCCTGGTTTCGTCAGTGAAAATTACGTTTCTCCACTGAGGTAATAACCAGTTCTGGTGTTCTCTAGCCCACTGTAGTCTCCTTTGCCTATGGTATAAAATTAATAGAGGGACTCGCAGTGGACGTCTACGCCGCAATCCAGCATTAGAAATACCAGAACTCTATAAAGTCACACATAACATTTCGACATAAAAACATTTAATGTTTTTGTGTATCGGTTTTTTTATAATCGCGACACAGTCCCTTTTACCTAATTTTTTACTTTGTATATTTTTTGTATATTTTACTTTGTTTGTATATTGGTATTTGGAGAGAAGGGTAAATAAACTATTTGAATGTCACTAGCTAAAAATGTGTACTTTGATTATAAACTACAATATTTAAGCACAGCCAATTAATTAGACAGCAGACTTACGATTAGTTACATGGAACTTAGTTGCATATCTACCTATAGATAACCGCTATCTTACGTTATGTATAACAAGTCCGATTCTGTGCTAGATTAAAGCTGCGTTTATAAAAAAACTATCGAGAGTAGTGCTCTGACTGACTGACTATTAATTTATTCGTAACACGACAGACGATCCGCTGGTAACCAAAAACTAGCTGAATCGACTGGCTGTCTGATGAATAGGCTGTGATATAAGTACCATATGATCGAAAAAAAACGGCTTGGAAATGAACATTAATGACATTCCCCATATAATTTTACATATAAAATGACAGCGATCTTCATTTCATAGCCATCGCAGACACTGTGTTTTTTTTCGATCATATTGTACTTACTTGAATTATACATAATTTTAAAAGCAACTTCTTGACACAACAAAGTTTTACAAATTCACGTTACAATTTACAAAATATGAGAAAATAAAGCAAAATATACATTATTTAAAATTGGCACTATACCGGGTGCGTCTCAAAAGGGCTCACCCCTATAACTTTCTTATTTTTTCAAATAAAAAACGAAATTTGGTATGTTAGTATGATATAAATTAGAATTGATTGATGTATTCAATTGTTTTTGGTCACTTCCTATTTCACTGGAAACGACTACAACTTTTGATTTTTAAATGACACCCTCGGTATATTTTAACTTTCTTCGATAGAAAATGATACTTTCAATAGAATGACATATCATATGTCCACTTTTGACATTTTCGCATATGGTTGATTTGAAATTGTAACATGCGGTTCATATCGACAATAATACCAAGTGTGTGGTACCAAATTATTCGTAAAAAAATGCTTTTTCCAAATATGCTAATGAGCCACACTTGTTCCGTTTGAAAAAATTGAGATATGATTAAAAATACAATTTGGGATTTTTTAACCGGCCAGGACGAGACACGAAAAACATTGGACGATCAAAACTATATTTCCAAGGCTCCTTGATTAAAAATTAGTGTTTCTAACACAGCCATGGCATTCTAGATTAAAAGTTAAAATACGATTTGTTTTTATGCGAAAATGTCAAAAGTTGACATGTCATTCTATTCAGTGTCATTTTCTATCGAATAAAGTAGAAATATACCGAGGGTGCCATTTAAAAATCAAAAGTTGTAGTCATTTCCGGCGAAACAGGAAGTGACCGAAAACAATTGAATACGTCAATCAATCTTAATTTATGTTATATACTAACATACCAAAACTCGCTTTTCTACCTAAAATAAAAAAAAAATAGGGGTGAGCGACTTTTGAGACGCACCCGGTATACGATATTTATTATCGTAAAAACTAATTACAAATAATAACTGCTCTAATTTTATTCTGTGGGTTTGTGTCCATTTCAATTCAATTTATTTGATAAACATATGCATGCCCTCCTAAAAAAGAACATTTTAAATTTACTTACTTTCATTTTTATTTTCGAATTTTTCTTTTTAGTGCATGGTATCAGAATTAAACATGACCGAATTAAAATCTGCCGAATATAAAGCCGATTTGCAAAAAGTTACCGAACAATTGGCGGAACTTAAAAGAAAATATTTAGAAGAGAAGAAAGCCAATAGGGCAAAACGTGCCGCTGCTGAACCAAACCGGGAAAACAGCAGCCAGATCCACGCAAACGCAGTTCGTTTCTCCGGTGGCGGGTTTCGAATGACAGTGCCGGAAATCGCTACAAAATAATCCGCTGTGACCCACAACAAATAGTGTTAAATGTAAAACTCTGTCTAAAACTGTTTGCCATAATCCGCCGAACACGTAGGTAATACATTTCTAACGAATTAACACGAAGTTTTTGTTATTATTGTGAAAAATTTACCGTAAACATTCGATAATAGGTTAGTCCAAAATGTCAAAGGTTTTGGAGGTTTGTGTTGATAGTTTGGAGTCCGCAGTTGCCGCTCTTAACGGCGGGGCCGATCGTCTCGAGTTATGCTCCTCGCTCATAGAGGGCGGACTAACACCAACACCCGGGCTATTGATTCAGATTCAAAATATGAATCCGAGAAAAGTTCCCGTGTTTTGTATGTTACGATGTCGTCCAGGAAATTTCATTTACAAGCCAGAAGAAATGGAAGTAATGAAGGAAGATGCTAAAATTCTCCGTAAAAGTGGCGCAGATGGTTTTGTTTTTGGAACGCTCGCTGAAAATGGGGATGTTGAAATGAAATCTTGTCGAGAAATAATTAAAACGTGCCATCCTTTACCCGTTACATTTCACAGGGCATTTGATTTTGTCCGACGGCCTACCATTGAAGTAGAAGTTATTATCGATCTTGGCTTCCAAAGAATTCTTACCAGTGGCAAACAACAAACAGCTCAAATGGGAGTTAAACTCATCAAAAAACTGATCGATCAGGCTGGAAACCGTATAATTTTAATGCCAGGTGGGGGAGTGAACAAGGATAACATAAAATATATACTGGAGAATACAGAAGCCAAAGAAATTCATGGCTCTTTCAAGAAGCTGAGAGAGGAACCTAAAGATGACTCGGTCGATTGTGAAGCTGAAGTTGTTATTTCTGATAAAAGCATTCCTAACTATGTCACAGATGAAGATGCAGTTGCAGAAGTCGTGAACGTATTAAAATCCCTCTAATTGTTGAATAAGACTGGAAAACTTTTCTGTATACGCAATTTCTGTATACACGACTGTATTAAAATATTTTGCTGTTTGGCGTAATTAATGTAAAAACTAATAAACAAATATGTGTGTTGAATTTACTGTATAATAAATAAAATTATATTTAGGCCTTGTTTTTTTACTTTTAATCCCGCCACTGCTTTATAGAAAATATGTGCTTCCACCTATTGGAGAGGTTCCAAATTAATATTTGCCCTAGATGAAATTTTAACCTATAATTTTATTTTAGTAAATAATGTAAATATTAAATGTTTATATTTTTCTAATAAATCTTTTCCTTACAACATAAAGAAGTATTTTTAAAGATGAATACCGACGAAATGACCTCCAAACTTTTGCAAGGATTAGGCAAGTCAACAAGAAGGGGTATCAAAAGATGTTCAAAATGTGGTATTTATAATGGTACAAGAGGCATTTTTTGTAAAAATAAGAACTGTGGGGTATCTTTGAGATCTTCCGAAAATCCAACTTACGAATTTGATGCTGTTAAATTAATTACTGGCACAAGTAGACAGGTTTATTCTGTACGAGTAAAGGACATGGCTTCAGAATGTCGGGGTTTTGTACAGTTGCCATTATTACAATCATCTATGGAGGATAACAATAACATTTTATCTGATGCTGCTTTGTGTTTTGTTGACTCTTGCCAAAGCTCATTCGATAATTCAATTTTAAAGTGCCATGAAGAAATTCAAAATAATGCAGATGTAGAAATATGCGATCATATAAGCTTAGCTTTAAAGAGTCAAGTAGTTGCAAAACCAATTTTCTTTGATGATTACATGTTAAATGATCTAAATATACCTAATGAGGTAAAGCAGTCACTATACCTCTTGGCATCTGATAATGCGTGCCCTCTTGTACAGCAAGTATCGAAGAATATTATGGCTGTCAGATGTCAGGTAACTCCAAAACAACCATTAGGGTATCTCCATTTTAATATTAATAAAGGAAGAAGTAAAGCATATGATAAATATTATTGTAATTGTACAGAATATTTATATCCAGGTATGTTTTTTTTTATCAAAACTATGTTAAGAAATGAAAATTTCTTCATTGTATTTTACAGCTCAAAAAATTCCAAAAAATTGTACAAAACAAAAATGTATACATTATTATGCCTGTGTAGCGGCCCTTTCAAGTAACCCAAGTTATTGTGAAGAATATTCGTATTTTCTCAATGATGAAGCAACTACTAAAAACCTATATTGTACTAAAAGTAAGTAGGAACATATATTTTACCTACATATTAGTCACTATAACGAATAGAAAAATAAAAGAATATATGCAAATATCTAATTTTAGACAAAATACATAATTCTCCATACAATAAAATAATTAAACAAATTGATTTACATAATGTAAAGAGTAGGAAAATAAATATAATATCAAATACTATTATAAAAAAGCCAGTCATAACAAAAAAGGTAGGCTCTATGTAATGTGTGTAATAAGTCATACACTAACAAGTTAATGAGTGAATATTTAGTATTATAAAGATTAACAAACTACTAAATACATGACTGTTGTAATCCTTTTTTAAATTAATTGACAAATTATTGCTTTTTTTCTTTTTATTATGTATTATTTTGTATCTATTAAGTTCTACCTTACTTTTTGAAATATTTATATTTTTGTGAATACGCAGTAACGATTTTATTGCATTCTCTAGGCTTATTTCAGATTTAAAAACCAAATATACACAGATTTTTTTTTATTTATTAAATATTCTGTGACAATAATAATAATAATTACTAACTTGAAACGGCAATAACTTAAATGGAACACACCGAATCATCATTTATTTTTTAATTTTGTGTTTTGTTTTGATTTTATTTGATTTTTTGTTCGTGTTTGATTTTTTAGTTCTCCCAAATATACCTACAGGGTGAGTTTCCTACGATGTTTTCTATGGGTATCTCGGAAACTACTGGAGATAGAGAGTCGGTTAAATGGGGAAAGAATTGCAGTTTTATAGGGTCATAAATATGCGCCTTTCAGATTTTTGACAAACTTCATAGCTTACTAGATATTTCGAAAAAAACAAGTGGCTTTTTTGAAAATTCTCCCTAATTCCATTTTTTGTCTAAAATAGATTATATTAGACAAAAAGTTTTCAGATAAAAGTTGTAGATAATCACATTCCTAATGAGTTTGTGTTCTCCGATTTTTTCTAGAGCCTGTGTGATTTTTGACATATGACACAAACATATGTTTTTTTTAATGGAAACCATAGTTGGCCATGACTTCACAAAAAGCTCCATTTTTTAAGCTTTTCGCAGCGATATAAGCTACATGTATTTGTTTTAGTTTGTGGAATGTAAATTGTAAAGAGCCTTTATATAATAATATATTTTGTCTTTTCATAAGTTATAAATCATAACAAAATAAGAACACCATGCCAACTGAGTGAAATTAGTCAAGAAAGATAAGAATTTTTTAACTTTTTAATTTTGTGTTTTGTTTTGATTTTATTTGATTTTTTGTTCGTGTTTGTTTTTTTAGTTCTCCCAAATATACCTACAGGGTGAGTTTCCTACGATGTTTTCTATGGGTATCTCGGAAACTACTGGAGATAGAGAGTCGGTTAAATGGGGAAAGAATTGCAGTTTTATAGGGTCATAAATATGCGCCTTTCAGATTTTTGACAAACTTCATGGCTTACTAGATATTTCGAAAAAAACAAGTGACTTTTTTGAAAATTCTCCCTAATTCCATTTTTTGTCTAAAATAAATTATATTAGACAAAAAGTTTTCAGATAAAAGTTGTAGATAATCACATTCCTAATGAGTTTGTGTTCTCCGATTTTTTCTAGAGCCTGTGTGATTTTTGACATATGACACAAACATATGTTTTTTTTAATGGAAACCATAGTTGGCCATGACTTCACAAAAAGCTCCATTTTTTAAGCTTTTCGCAGCGATATAAGCTACATGTATTTTTCTTTCAAAAAATTATAAAGAGTTATAGTCAATTTTTATCTTTCTTGACTAATTTCACTTAGTTAGCCATGGAAACAAGTTCCATCGTCGTTGCTATCAGAAATGAGAAACTGTCACATCTAAAAAAAACTATCTTTGTAAATTAAAATAAGAAAAATCTTTGTAAATTAAAATAAACAAAAATTGTAAATATGAATTTTTCAAATGAAGAAAAGCGTGTAGGTGGTGTAGGATTGTTCAACTTTTCTTGACCATACAATTTCGAGGATACGTTGACCGGTGAACGTTACTTACATTTTTTAGAGAACGGTTTCAAGACATGTTAGAAAAGTTAAATTTATAGATACTCGCGCATTATAGAATGGTTCCAACATGACTACATTATGACCTCCCCCCCCGCAATGAAAGAAAGGTTAAATTTATTTATATCATAATTATAATTATGTAGACTCAGGGATAGAAAGTGGTGGGCCAATTTCATGGGCCTCCTCGATCACCTGACCTATCCATTTTAGATTTTTTTATGCGGTATGGTTAACAACAAGGTTTACAAAAGAACTTATGAATTAAGAGAAGCACTCGAAGAGGCGGTACAGGAGAAGTTTAATAAAGTCGACCGGTCGTTCTGTGAGAATAGCTAGAAATTCAGTTTTAAAAAGATGCATTTATGTACTCAAAACAATGGCGGATTTTTTAAACATTTTCTAAAATAACTTATAGTGTATGTAGCGATATTATTTTTGTTAGTTTTAGTTTGTGGAATGTAAATTGTAAAGAGCCTTTATATAATAATATATTTTGTCTTTTTATAAGTTATAAATCATAACAAAATAAGAACACCATGCCAACTAAGTGAATTAGTCAAGAAAGATAAGAATTGGCTATAACTCAGTAATTTTTCCAAAAAAAAAACATTATAGCTTATATCGCCGAAAAGCTTAAAAATGGCGCTTTTTATGAAGTCATCGCCAACTATGGTTTCCGTTTAAAAAAACATATGTTTGTGTCATATGTCAAAAATGACAGGCTTTAGAAAAAATCGGTGAACACAAACTTATTAGGGATGTGATTATGTACAAATTTTATCTGAAAACTTTTTTTTTAAAATAGATTATAATGGAATTAGGGACAATTTTTAAAATAGCCAAAATTTCTTTTTTTTTTTCGAAATATATAGTAAGCCATGAAGTTTTTCAAAAATCTGAAAGGCGCATATTTATGACCCCACAAAACTGCGATTCTTTCATTTAACCGACTCTCTATCTCCAGTAGTTTCCGAGATACCCATAGAGAACATCGTAGGAAACCTGTAGATGCTTCTACTGTTTCCATTGTTGTGTTATTTTATTAGAATGTCTTTTTAGTCTACTAGTTAGTACATTAGGGATTTTCCAAAAATAAAATAAATCGATATTTTGAATCGATTCAAGATCGGACATAACAAGATCGATCCAGAAAAAAATCGGCAACAAAAGATCGATCTTATTAAATATCGATATTCGATTCTGAATATATTGGTGTACTCTGGGTGTACTGGTATAATAAAAATATGGGTATTACCAAAATATGATATAATTATAAAAAAAAATTAGATACAAAAAAATCGTAAAACCGTTTATTAGCATTTTTAAAATTAAAACTGAATCAGAGTCACCACAAACTAAATCAGAAACACTCACGAACCGAGATATACTTATGAAAATTAAAAATATGATGACCTATGACAATATTAAAATATAATTATTTGGCATTTTCCATGCTTATGATGATTTTGACAAGAATATGTACCGGTAAATTCTGTGATTTTGATATATATCAGTTGGTTGGAAATAAGCAAAAATCAAAGAATCTTCTACGTTATAAAGTATAAAAATATGGGAATCAGCGACAAAAATCTGACATCTGATATCAAAGTGACAAAACAAACATAGCGCATGCGGCAGCGACCACTTATACTTAATTTTTCAATTCATTGCTAGATGGATTTTTACTAGATCTAGAGATGCACAGTAAACAAATATTCAAGCAAAACTAAAGTGTTTCAGAGTGTTTATTCTTATTCTAACAAGTAAATAAACCTGTAAAACTGTATAAATAAAATCGATCTTCGATTTTGAAAAAAAGATCGATTCTACAAAAAGATCGTTTGATAAAAATCGATCGATTTTAATCGATCTTTTGGGTAAAAAGATCGATCTTCGATTAAAATCGATTCGAATCGTACATCCCTATAGTACATTACTTTAGTTTTTGCTAAATTAATTTTGAGACCTACTTTATTGCTGGCTGTAATTAGTTCGTTAATTTGTGCTTGGGGTTCTTCAGGACTATTGGCAATTAAAGATAATTAACGTTATATACCGATACTTCCATATTCCATATTAATTTACCGGTTGTATACACAACTAATATCAGCTAAAAAGCGCATGTAATCATAATAAAATAAAATTAATAACATTAACAAATAATAATATTGTAAACATGTAAACCCTTGAAATACTTTTTACTTTTTTTTAAAAAAACAGTTTTGTTACTTTGAATATATGATTATTTTAGGTAAAAAAGAAATCATGTAAAAATGAAAAACTTATAATTCAGCGTTGTAAAAAAATCGTTCCTAAAGTCTTCCCTATAGAAATAAAAGTGTTGGACGAACTTCCTACTACAGAAAACAAAGAACCCGAGGTCTCATGGGGCTTCCTCGATTGGCTAGCCTTTGTAACTGAATCAATAAACAGAACCATGCAGTTTATTAATTGTGGTATTGTTAATATGCAGATATTTTATATTCCAGAAGTAAGTCGTAGATTAGAACTATTAATGAAAAAAAAACGGCGTCAGAGTTGGCCTGGAAATGAAGATCATTTTATATGTAAAATTATATGGTGACTGTCATCGATAGTCATTTCTAAGCTAACTTGGCGCTTTTTTCGAGCATAGGGTATTATTAATATATACAGGACGAGTCAATTATTTTATGAAGATTCAACTACCTGTATTTTATTGTAACATATTTAAAGGATTAATTTATAGGCATTTTAAACAAATAGGAATTTTAAAAGTTTACTAATACTAAAAGTTTGTAAAGAGGACACCAGAAAATAAAATTAAATAAGCTTGGCTATTTTTACTACATTTCTGAATGTTTGCATTGGTTTGGTATTCTTTTTTATATTTTTGATAAATTGTTATTATTTCATACCGATCTGGTCATCGAAACTGCGTGGTCTGGATTTAACGCGTAAGACAGTGATGTAGACAAATTAATGAAAAATCAAATGTATTAAAAAGAGATAAAAGTTGGGTTGATACATTTTTTCTATGCCGAATTGCCGAATTTTGCTTTAAAATTTCAAACCGCACAAGTAGGCGTTTATGAAAAATGTTGCATCTAGGTTTGGAACTTTATTTTTCACAATTAGTTACTCATTTTTCTACAGTTGTAATAGATTATATTTAGCTTAGAGATATTATATTTATTTCAGTTGTATACTGGAAAGTTTTTAAAATACTTTTTTTCTTCATACGTTTCCCCCACTCACGTAAAAACCGGCAACACTGTATGCCGTTTTTTATTTTGTCTCTCTGTCAACGAGTGATTTATAATTATCTCTGTCGCATGCATTAAAATACAGACCATGCAGATGAAGTGTCCAGGATGGTACAAGTATATACACACTTTTTGTAGTATATACAGACTTATTCTATAGAAAAAGTGCTTTGATCATAATGTTACACAATGTTATAGTTAATGATGAAAGGCTATTTTATTTACTCATTTACATGAACGAACGACAATACTTGTATGCTTTTGTGCAATTTTTGCATTATGCCGGTAATTTATTATTGATTTTATAAAGTCTTTTTGAGTTTTTAAAAAACCGATTTTTCAGGATTTTTGGCTGGCTTTGAAGAAACGAATTCCCACTTCTTACATTGAAAATAAAACCGACATCGGTTCCATATTTTACAATATTATGAACATTAATCACGTGAAGGAGATATTTGACACCCCCAAGGTGAATATTTTTAATCACAAAATGTACAGAGTGATATTTTCTTTTTTATGTGCCTTATTTTCTTTCTCTTACAGAAAACAGTAACTTTATTCACCCATTGCTGCATCTGATTCAGTTATATGCATTATTTTGGAAATTGCATCTTATTATTTTATAAATGCGTTATGATCAGAAAGTTTTGTGATAAAACATGATTTGTGTGATGGCAGAAAACTAATTTTATAAGAAACAAAAAATAAACTCAAATTAAACGGAAATTATCCCCACAAGAATCTCTTCAGTAAAATTAATTTTTAAAAATAGACATGTATTTAGATGCTCTTTTTATTCTGTTTTAACATTTTTAATAGATGAGATAATTATTATGATCGCTTCGAAACAAAATATCGGTTGGCATGTCAAAAGTCACTATGACGTCGGTTTTTTTTCAATCGTACAATACGTTTTTTTTTCAATCGAAACACGTTTCTGTTCCTCTTTTAACAATAATGCAGAGTGGTCCGAACTTTATTCCGGAAACTTCGGCAGCATATTCTAAGAGATATATAAAGCTATAGATAGAGATATACAACACTATAAAGATAAAAATAAGTAAAAAAGTTCGTATAAGTGTACGTCGTAAAATGGTATACAGGATGTAAAAGTTTAATTTTTATTTCGATTTTTTCCAAATAATTTTTGAAGTATCGTCAATATTTTAATAAAAATTGGTGTCTAGGAGTTTTTTGACATGAGAAATTTGATTTTGATGTTAATATGACTCCTATTTGTAGGGGGCACCATCTACATGTGTTTTAACTGTTTTGAAGAGTAATAACTATTCGTCCATACCTGTATAAAACTACTAGGTGAAAAATATACATTTCCGTGATTTTCTACGAAAAAAACATTTCTTGGTAAAAATCGCTACGAGCAACCGTTCTCAAGATATTTAGAATGGAAATAGTCAATACATATCATTATTGACAAAAAATCGTAATAGTATAGTATAGTATCAAAAATCGAGTAAATAATCATAAATTTTTCTTCGAAAAAATGATGGTAAAACAGTTTCTGTTGAACTTTTGGCACAAAAACATTTCAAATTTATGTTTACAGTTAGGGAATGCAATCCCGCACCAAAATCTCAATCCCGCAAACCCGCGGGATTAAAGCAGTCAATCCCGCGGATCCGCAAAATTGCGGGACTGTAAACAATAGTCATACATTTGGTCCTAAATGGTACAAAAGGCATTGTACATTTTGCATAGGCCCACAATATATTGATATAGCGTGTATCTTAAACTAGCTGTACTGAAATTTGGACCGATGTATACAGGGTTTTCAAAAAATATATTTAATATTAAATAAACTTAAATTTTATTATAATTTATATACTTATTTTATAAATAAAAATATTATTCTGATGTTGAAGTTTTTTTTAACTTGTGTTGGTTATCTGCTTTTAGATACACTCTATATCAACAATTTTTTGGCATATGCAGAATGTACAAAGCTTTTTGTACCATTTAAACCTATCTAATTGTTTTTTCTAATTTCAATACAGATTAGTCGTACTTGGTAAAATTTCGATTTTTTAAAAATTGTAAATTTGCGGTAAAAAAGATTCTTGACCAAATTTTGACACTCTTATAAAAGACCCTTTATACGAGAATTCGCTAAATATATTTTCGAACCATATAGCATCTTAATCACAATAGATGCATCTAAGACCTGGTCCAAACCGCATCCCAAAATCTTTTTTAGTTCAAGAGATACCTATTCAACTTTAAATTTACCCCAAAATTTTGCTTGTCCCGATAATTACATGTGTCCGGCAGTTTATTTGACGAAATTGTCCACAGGTACTAATTAAACGCTTTTCTTCACTTACGCACATACGCCAGAAAGAAATCTAACAAGTAACCTGTTTGTTTCACTTATTTTTAATGGCCAAGCCGTAAGGGGAATCCCCCGGGTTCCGACAGTCGACGCATCGGCCCGGAACGAAACGGTTTGACCCTAATCGAGATCGATTCGGTTACCCAGTAGTAATGGGTCAATCCCGCGGATCCCGCACGGTAAATCCCGCAACTTTGACCCCGCGGAATCTCAGAGAGATCCCGCATTTGCGGGATCCAGCATTTGCGGGATTGCATTCCCTATTTACAGTCTAATAACTATTTAATCAACATGTTTATGTCAATGACGACACGTATTGATAATTTCAATTCCAAATATCTCGAGAACCATTACTCGTAGCGATTTTTACCAAGAGACCTTTTTTTACTCAAGAAACGTCGTAAATGTATATTTTTTTACCCAGTAATTTTATGCAGGTACGGACGAAACGTAATTACTTTCAACCCAGTAAAAAAAAAATGTTGGTGGCGCCCTCTACAAGTAGGAGTCATACTGACATCAAAATCAAATCTCTCATGCCAAACTGTCAGGACACCCACTCATCCAAATATTGAATTTACTCTAGAAATTATTTCGAAAAATCGAAATAAAATGAACTTCTACACCCTGTAATTCTGAAACTAAGCAATTTAGGACATACATTTATACGAACTTTTTACTTATTTTATCTACAGAATATGCTGCCGAAGTTACCGGGAATACAGTTCGACCACCCTTGCATATTATTATATAATACATTATTTTGCTGCTATTTCAAGTAATATACCTCATTATATGGACAGTTCTAAACATTGAATAATCTGGGGTATTATATCTGTGAGATGTGAGAGTGTGACGCAATTTTTTTGCGTCAGATTTGGTTACTAATTTAGTTACCCTTTCGCATTTCCATGAAAACAATAGGAAAGACTTGTGCTTTAATTCTGTCTGGGTCTGGGCATCTGAAAATAGTCACTCTGTACAATGAACCTATCATAAATTCTAGAACAATCATTGTGATACCATATTATATTGTCAAGAAAAATGGCGCATCCGCCAGAAATTAAAAATGTATTACTGGTTGCCTGCACAACCGCAACGTATCCGCCAGAAATTAAAAGACTTTTTCAGGCGCCATCTTTTAGTCAAGTCGAGAAGGTGGAACTGTGACAATAGAATCTTCGTCTGCAAGGAAGAAGTAGCTTCCGAGAATCGTAAACTCTGAGAAGCAGTCGGAATAGAGCATGCCGGATTTTACCGACAACTGAGAATGCTCTTGAAATTTGAATATGGCCCTATTGAATTTTTTTCAGATCATGCAGAGTTTGTAAAGCCCTATAAAATTCGATTACAACAAACACTCTCAACAAAGTATTTGATGAAAAGAAGACAGTTTTCAAAGAAACTAAATAGGTTAACGTGTTGACGTTGTTGTTTCATTTTTATTGGCTGTTAAAACTTGCGAAAGAATCGGTAATAACGTTCCAGAATACATCTGCAGCCTCGTCATCGAGTTTATAACCCAGGATAAATTTGTGTTTTTAAGTTATATCCAATAAAACAGACGTTAAGACACGCTACAAATAAAAATTGAGAAATATCACAGAAAAGTAAAGCATAATAGATATTGAGCTAGTTTGTATTGGGAAATATAATATATTCTTTATTTAATATCCAAAAACCAAGAAAATAAGAATTAGGATATTAAAAAAAACTACAGAATTTTAAGAAACGTCGGAAAGGAACAAACTTTGTTGCCGTCATACACTTAAAATAAAGTTGCCATACACATATTTGTAAGTCGTATACTTTTAATATGTTTACAGATTATTGTGTAGCATCTTATAAAAAGAAACAATAATAAAACGTACATTTTACCGAACGTAATTTAATTAACTTGCTACGTAATACAATAAATAATTTATGCGTACACACCGACTCGACTGTTCGATTTCAGTACCGAAGTTCAGTACTTCCTTTGTAATTCCCCTTAATCTGATAGCTTATCTCATAATTTCGCTGTACGAATAATAAAGCAATTAATAAAGAGCATTAACGAAATAATAAAAGTTTAAAACCCTTGTCAGAAATTGTCAAACTTCGTGAGATATCTAATTATAATTAAATTTGATTTTTCCATACAAATTTTCCAGTAATGATAAACCAATATATCACCAATAAATGTTTAACAGTACATAAACTATAATATCCGCAGATTTTTCTTCCTTAAGTGTGATTTTTCCTTTTTTTTTTGCTTGTGGACCTTTCTATATAGATAAGCCACTCAATCAGAAATCTGTTTTATTAACTAGTAACTAGTGTTTTTCTTGCATTTGATCCAACAAATTTGTTAGATAAATACTTGTTAGCAAGTTAAACTAAACTAACTCTAAGAGCTCAAAAGCACTGACGGGCAGGTCGTAGCGACCAGCTAACGGCCAATTCATAAATCAAATGATAAAAAAAATCAAGCGATGAACAGTGGCTTTTTCAGTCGCCGCGACCAGTAATACCATTAAATCAATTGCTGGTCGCTGCAACCTGGTCGTCTGTGCGTTTGAGCTCTAAAGCGTCTTCAAATTTATATTTATTAATCATTTCACGTACCGATTCAAACCATTCCCAACATTTTAAAATACAAATTAATCAGTCAATTCTATCCAGCCATTTTCAAATTAAACACCCACTAACACACAGCGTTACATTTTTATTTATATAGATCGTTATAAAGCTGACAGATACATGCATCTACCACTATAACTCTAAAACTATATTATATAGCAGTACAATCGTCTTGAAACACTTCGATATTCTATTTGGGTAATTTCAGATATGAATGGATAGAACGTATGACGTTTTGACTAAGTACTCCGGGCGTGAAGTCTCAATCGAGGGCCCGTACACTTCCCGGTATCGACACAATATATCGACCCTAGAGCCAATTACATCGACAGCGGCCGTCGTCCTTTAGAAGTGAGGCCTCGTGGGCCGGCCGAAGACTTATGTAACGTGCTTCGCATTCATCTCAATTTTAACCCACGCCGGTTTAGGTGGTAGATTGCGTTTCGCCGTATAATAATCCGCTTGTTTGTTGAACGTACGCGGCCGAGAATGACCGG